TGTCGTTATGAAGCATTTAGTTGTTTTGATTTTTGTAATATGGACCCCCTGGATGGTGGTTAGATCCTCCTGCTCCTACTCATTATTTCTCCCTCGTCCTTTCTTCCTCACTCACTGTCATCATTATCTTTGCAATATTCTGAACACTTATCATTCTATTATACAGATAGAAACTCTCCATTCAAGAGACTGAATTAACTTTGAAGATGGTGGTGCACAGCTGTCAGCTACTCCATTGAATGATCAGGTCTTCGTCGACCGCAAATCCCTTCTTCAGATCCATCCCAAACTTCCCATCTACAGAGGCCGCGAAACTGACCTCCATCTCTATGGCATCAATAACCATGACACTGGCCCAGACTGGACATCATCATCGTTCTTTTTAACACCAACAGATCCTTACTCGGCATCGGTGCCAGTAGACCCTTCTCCTCCAGCGCTGTTTCGCTTCCGCTCGGAGGCTTCAGACATGACAACGAACTAATCGCTCAGACCTAACGCTGTGGCAACGGCATGGAAGCGACACTAAATGGACTGGGTGACACTGAGCGCAAGGTGACGACGCAGAGCATTCACTTACACTAGACGACAAGCACAAATGTCAGATGAGCCCCTGCATAAGGCGCAGCCTTCTACCTTCTCTACCCAGACCCGCTCGGGATGGCTCACTACCTGTATGGCATTCTGCATATTTTCCTCTACTTAAACCCCGAGAGATATCAAGATAGCGGAGATTATGGAATCTACAGATTATTCCGACTCTTTGAACGAACCCTTCCTCTATCTTTACACCAAATCTGGAGCCTTATAAGGGAGCCATGAAGCCTATCAGACGGATAGACTGCTAGAACTGCAGGGATTAGCTATGCCATTACTCTTACGAAACTTATCTTTCCAATCTGATCTCTTGCGAAATGGATACCTAGCAAAGCAGCCCTAGGTAAGTATGATGCTTAATTTTTTGCGGGACACACGTTGACGAAAAAAAATGCTAATAGGTGGTGATTTATATTAGCCATACCATTCTATGTAATACCATACCTTTTGAAGGCCATGGCGTTGTCTACATAAATCGGACATTTATGCTGAAATCGGCCGCTGTTGCGAAGGAGGCCACGGTGAGATGGATGCATACGGGCATATTACGGGGTTGACTAAGGCTACAATCATTCGATGAGGCACCATCTTCTGTTTTTGGAGATTGCACTGATTACGATGGCAGGGGAAGAAAATGACTGGCCTGCTAAGATCGCGGAGCGACTTGTGGTGCACGGGGCCGTCAGCGAAACCAGTTGTGTAGGACTGCATGATAAGAGATGTGGAGAAGCCGCTGCTTGTTCATTAAGGCTTCAACGGATATTTCCGCCAGGCTGACTGACGACGAGATCCGAATTTGGGTGTCTCAAAACACAGCATTCTGGATGGAACGCCGCAAACGGGGATGATATCCCCAGAATAGCCGAAAGCACGAGAAGCAATGTTCTGGGGCTTGGGCCTTGGCAGCAAGTTAATCATGGCTGGCAGAAGAGAGCCACGTTATATTTGATTTATTTGATGGCTGCACATTTATCTAGAAACACATTGATGGCTGCGTTTGCCATCTGACTCAGATTGTGATCCTGCGCGCATTCCTAGAATGTTCTCGAGCCTCGTCACTCGGCACCCGATCTGCATCCCACTGTGCCCACATGAAGTATCTAGATACCCCATGAAAATGCTCCATATAGAGCGTGTTTTGCACTCTATTATTAATCATCACTATCTCTCCAGGCGGGACCGGAAGTAACCGTGCGGAAAGCCAGTTGTTTCTTTGGTGGAGTGTTGAATGCAGTGATCAACGTCATAACATCAGCGATTTCCTTTTGCGGACTTTAGACTTGCCTCGGTCCGGCCGCCCGACTCCGATGATGACAACGCTCGGAAATAACTGCTAGAGGGGACTGACCTGGAATAGAAATAATCGGGCCCATCCCGACCGATTTCGTAGAGGAATCTAGAAGCATATTTGTGGTAGATATGCATCTGCACGCTGCATCTTGAATACTCGGTCTCACTCCTCAGCGCAGCGCACGAGTATACTGGCACAATGACAATAACCAAAGCAGTCCGCATTGTCGAGGTGGGGCCCCGCGATGGCCTGCAGAATATCAAAGAGCCTGTTCCAACATCCGTGAAACTCGAGTTAATCCAGCGACTACGCGCGACAGGACTGCGGACTATCGAGTTGACGTCCGTGGTCTCGCCAAAGGCGATCCCACAGTTAGCGGACTGTCGCGATGTACTGGGGAATGAGTCCATCAAACAACTGCAAGGACAATCGGGCCTTCGGCTGCCTGTCCTTGTGCCAAACGTCAAAAGACTGGATATTGCGATCGAGCATGGCGCCAAGGAGGTCGCGGTGTTCGTGAGTGCGACGGAGGGTTTCAGTAAAGCCAATATCAACTGCACGGTGCAGCAAGGAATAGAGCGAGCAAAGGCCGTAGCAGAGAAAGCGATTGAGTGTGGGATTACCGTGCGAGGGTAGGTAGTTCTTGCATCCGTTCTCTTTGCAAGACGCATTGCTGATCTCGACAGGTATGTTTCTTGTATTTTCTCAGACCCGTTCGATGGTCCTACCGAGCCATCGGCTGTGCTGCACTGCGTTCAAGAACTGCTAGACATGGGCTGCTATGAAGTCAGCCTAGGCGACACACTCGGTGTCGGCAGCCCAGACAAAGTCCGCAGTTTGCTCCACTACCTAGCCGACCACCACATCCCGCTCGACAAAATGGCGGGCCACTTCCACGATACTTATGGCCAGGCGGCCGCGAATGTCTGGGAAGCGTACAACTGCGGCGTGCGCGTGTTCGACAGCAGCGTGGGTGGTCTGGGCGGATGCCCCTATGCGCCAGGGGCCAAAGGGAACGTCGCCACGGAGGATCTGGTGTACATGTTTGAAACGGCGGGCATCGACACGGGCGTTGACCTGCTGAAGCTTGTTGAGACGGGAGTGTGGATATCTAGACGGTTGTCCAAGACTAATGCCAGTCGTGCTGGGACCGCGCTGGCGGCGAAGCATGGCTCTGTTCCCTTCAAACGGTCGTCCTCGTCCCGAACAGCCACCAAGAAACAGATATCCTGGACTATGGTCAAAGATCCAAACGGCTCGTTAGCCTACCACTCCGGCGTGAACGTCAAGCCCATCATCAACCGACCGAAAAGGAGGAACGTATTTACCTCCTCCGGCTCGTCGAAGACATCACAGCCGACCCCTCCGTCTTCCGACTCATCATCACAGGAACAGGAAGATTCTTCTCCACAGGCATGGATCTCAACCAGAACTGTACACCTGTAGTACAAGGCGGAGGTAACACTGTGACTCAATATACCCGTCTCGCGCGTTATTCGACGCGCGATCGACCAGTCGCGCTTGTCAAGAGCTCAGTGTTTAGCGCGGTTATAGGTCGCGTGTGCCCGCGATATCTGAATCGGTGTCAAACCTGCAAATATGACTCTGAGCGAGATGAAACACGATATCTTCGCCGGACCCATCGCCAAACACACGATTCATGAACGGGTGGCGTTTACGCGGCAGGCGATTCTTCGGCTCGTCCGTGCAAGCGATCGAATTGAAGGAGTTGGTGGCTATCTCGGAGTTATTGATCGTTGAAAGGTCTTGCAGCACGGTTGATAATGTGTTGAAACTGTCGAGTGGTTCGTCGGAGGAGGGTGGAGGATATCCAAGGATGATTCGATTCTGGTGGCTCGTGTGGGGAGGGAAAGAGTCGGGGCTAAAGGATTGTTGGACGAGATGATGAGTGTTTGGTGAAATGATGCGCCGTGTTGAAGGTGCTCATAGTTATGGCTGAGAGAAAAGATGGATAGGTGCTATACACAACAACGGCTGGGGTTGAGTGTGTAGATGTTGCCATAGACAGATGGCTAGATTACCAGCACTAACCAACATACATAGAACATAACAATGGACCATAGGTATCAAGGCAAGAGTTTTCGCATTCCGGTCTATATACTCTGTATTACATTTCTCAAGGCTCTTGGGAATTGTAAATTGTATGATAACTTTCTCTATTCCAATGACAAACCTTACCAATGGCAATACATAGGGTCTCACAGTAGGTGGACTGGCAACCCATTCGTCGAATAGAAACAAATCAATTATTAGATCTCGACCATTTGGTGTAATATACCATTCATCCTATGCTAGCAATGGTCGTCTAGGCGCCTTTTTTAGCCAGATGGTTCTATGGTTGACATTTGCTCGCTCGGCCATGGTTGCGAGTGGAACTGATAACATTGTTCATGGTTCGAATAGGGTGCTACCAGAGTCTGCTCATCAGCAATCATGCTCGACCCCTGTGACAAATTAGCATTATTAAATCCCAGCCGGCAGAGCTATATGGTAGGGGTTTCAGCAGCCATCCTATGCACACGATGTGGCTTTCTTTCGTATGCCTGGCTGATCTCCTGCTACCATCCACAGGGAATACACTACAAGCAATAGCTCAGCTTTTTGCGTGGTAGATGACATTGGATATAAACGCCTGCAATAACATCAATAGACTGTTGGATTGAGTGATTGCGAGATCATCAAGGAAGTATCCTTCGCGTCTAGTCATTCGAACCATTGAAGGTCATGTTGAATTCAGCCATAGCAGCCAGCCCTAGTACATGGTGTGACGATGGTTGATCGCAAGTGAATATACAGTCTCTCCAGGCTTTATTTCGGGATTGACATAATTCAATATTATTCGATATTCTCCACTCGATACATAGTACGGAATCATACTACTTTAGGCTGTAGCTTGGCCGTTCTTGTTTCTCTCCACAATTGGCTCTATCGCTATGACATCACCCTCCTGTCACCATATAAACCCAGCTTCGTCAACACACTCTCTGTCCTCGATCTCAGCAGCACATTTGCATTCCTAGAACAATCCTTCGATTCCCCAACAGACCGTATTTCCGATTTCTACTGCACGACAGACACTACTAGAGATACCATGGGCGGCAAGCAAGATCACAATACCCCAAAGTTGCATCGGTAAGCATTCGCATTCTCAACTGGCCAAGCAGCTGAACTGACAAAACAGCGTCGGAAAATGGATGCCCTCGAGCCACGCTGCACACCAGGAATGGCTCGGCGGAGTCATCACACATGTTGACAAGAACACGTCCCATAAATTGCACCCCGTGCTGCAAGAATTCAAAGAACTGATCGAATCCAATTCCCGCGTCTACCTGCTCATCTCCGCCATGTTCGCCGAGATCCCTCGTAAACGACCATACAGTACCGATCCGACAGGCTGCGCTCAGATCCGCGACTACCACCACCTCCTGCAAGTTTTGAACTACCTTCTGACGACTGCACCTAGCTGGAACGACTTTTCACATCGCGTCGGTCTCGTTGGTCTCCCGATCAACGCAGTGTTGGACTGGAGCATGGGTACGCCTAGCGGCTACGCCGCGTATCTGGATCCCGAAATCAACAGGATGGTCAAGAAGATTCTCAATGCGTGGGGGGACTACCTCAAGTCTCCCGAGTCTGCCTCGGTCCTCAACGATACTTCCAGCGGCTGGTTCGGCTCCACGGCCAGGTCCGATCTGGAGGAAGTCGGTAACGTTGGCGAGACTAGCCATTCCTTCGAGGACCTGTACGTTTGCGACCCTTCGGCAAAGCACCACGGATTCAAATCGTGGGACGACTTCTTCACTCGTGTCTTCCGCGAGGGCGTAAGACCCGTCGCGTCGCCTGAGGATGATACCGTCATCGCAAACGCATGCGAGGCGCAGCCCTACAAGGTAGCCCACAACGTCAAAGAGCGAGACATGTTCTGGATCAAAGAGCAACCCTACTCGGTCCGCGATATGCTGAACCACGACGAGCTCACGCCGCAGTTTGTCGGCGGAACTGTCTACCAAGCGTTCTTGAGCGCGCTCAGCTATCACCGCTGGCATTCGCCTGTCAGCGGCAAGGTGGTGAAAGCATACGTCGTTGAAGGGACGTACTACTCCGAGCCGTTGTTTGAGGGAGTAGGGGATCCGTCGCCCCATCAGATCGACCTGTCCGGCCAGGTCACCGCCCAGGAGTATAACAGCGCCACGGCAACGAGAGCACTGATCTTCATAGAGGCAGATCACCCCGCCATTGGCCTCATGTGCTTCATGGGCATCGGTATGTGCGAGGTTTCCACATGCGAGATCACAGTCAAGGAAGGTCAGCATCTGAAGAAGGGCGACCAGCTCGGTATGTTCCACTTTGGAGGGTCGACGTATTGTCTGCTCTTCCGGAAGGGCGTCAAGGTGGAGGGATTTCCGGATCCTTCGAGAGGTCGGAACGTGCCTGTCCGAAGCTATCTGGCAAAGGTGCAACCGTAACTGTTGAGTTGTATTAGCATTCGTACATAGAACCGTAGGGTGGGTTTCAGCTTCATGGAAAATGTGTACATACGTATCGGCACGGCATGAATTGTACAGATATTGACCACTATATCCTGGCCACGATCTGCGGTCAGAACCCGTTGTCGATCTCACACAATGCAAGGGCAATATGGCCCTTGCTTAGAGCGCACGCAATCGTACACAGCAACGTTGATCATGTTAAGCCATATCCGTGTACGTTTAATCGACCTACAGCCAGAAACCCGCTCTGATGCAAAACACGAAACACAATGTTGATCGATATATCCGTAAGACATAGATCATCCACAACAAACAGCCCACACTACTGCAACTAACTCGAAGAACAAGTACGACATGTCTTATCCAGCTAGGCATCTACATCATGATCAACACCATAATATTGCCTGTAGTTAACATTCAGGACATATAATGGGCAGCAACCCCCCTCCAATCCTCACCACAGCCAATACCTCACTTGAATCCTTCTCTCTATAGCCAGAACACCTCACAAATCACAATGCACTTCACAACCGTCATCACAACAACCTTGGGACTTCTGACCATGGTCTCTGCTATGGCCTCGTCAGCCTCAGCCTCAGCCTCAGCATCTCTTAGCTCGATCCTAGCGGCCCCCTCCACCCCAATCTCCGTCCATGCACCTAGCCACCCTGCTCGATTCGTCCGGCGAGTATTGCCATCGTCTACGCCCGTGGCATCCGCATCCTCCATGTCGACGGCTACTCCTTCTGCTGTATTTCAGGGTCCCGTTGCGACTTGTTGATTTGCTGCTAACGGTTGGTGTAGACCCCTTCGCAGAAATTGTGGTGAGGTAATCGGGATGTGATATTGGTGGTTTAGTTTGGAAGAAAGGAAGATGCGCTGGGGTTGGGTATACCTTGAGATCATTATGTCCTGGAATGGCGGATAGAGGATGCAAGACAGATGGAGAGATGGAGATCTGTGTTTAGATGGTGTGAAATGTAATGTCCATGGGATCTGTTCTAGAGTATCTTATTCCCTGGTAGAAATTACACTAGGTCTCACTGGGCGTTGACGGGGAAGCTGTGCCATAGCCTTCTGGCCTGGATAAGCCTCCACTGTGATTAACGTCTGTCTTCTCAGATGGCTCAGGGTAGTATTTAGAGAGCTCGATAGCCTCTAGTGGCCTCGCTACCGGTCCACCTAGCTGCCCTCGGCCAGACAGGAGGTACCTCCAGTCCCTAAGTCTAAGGATTCATGGAGCTTCTTAGGACTACAGAGTTCTACTCTGAGATCTACACTCGGAAGCTGTCTACTCGGGGCTCTCGGAGCTGTAGGGCCCTTGCTAGGTCGCCTGCCATGGCTACTGCAGTAGAGCAGCACAGAGTGTTCCCTCGTCAGGTTCTGGGTTAGCTTGCTCTCGCTAGAATGATAAGTGATTCATATTAAGAAATAATCTTTATCATCCAGGTCTAGCTGAAGTCTATGTACGATTTGCGCAGGATGCTCTTTACGACTATAAACTCGACTTCCCCCTCGACTCATATCCAATCAGCAAAACCACCAACCCAGCTACAACAAACAACCCCCCGCTCACATACACCGGCACACTGGTCTTCAGATCAGCGACGAGCGCGATCACCGGCGCCAGGATCCCGCCCACCCGGTTGGCCGCCGCGGTCAACGCATTCCCCGTTCCCCGGTCTTTGGTCAGGAACATCTCGGGCGTGTACGCATAGAGAACCGCGTAGAGAATACTACTGGTGAAGCTATACGCGCAGTTCCAACCCAGTAGGGCAGAAGATGACATGGCCGTTGTAGAGGCTAGCAGGAACGCACCCGTCAGCACGGCGGATGAGCTGATGGCGCCCCGCCGGCCGAGGTAGGGTATTTCGACTAGCACACCGCCGATCAGCGAGCCAGGTAGGCCTGCCGCCGCGATGATCAGCGAGTTCCGGTAGGTCAGGGCCGTTGAGCCATCGCCAAATTCGGCGCCCTTGGTCTGCTGGATGTAGGGTAAGAATGCGTTGTAGAGGGGGAAACCGAGGCCGATAAGGCCCCAGACAACGATAAGCAGCGACGTGGACCAGGCGCGGCCGGGGGTATCGAAGAGGGCTCGGATGTGACTGAGGGTCAAGTGATCCAGCCGCTGGCGGATAAGAACGTTTGTTCCGACAGTGGTGGGCTGTTCTGCGGAGGTTTCAGGGGTGATGAGGTCGTCCACGGACAAGGAGGCAGAGGAGCCATTCCGGCGGGCGACTTCGTGGACGACGGCCACGGCATCCTCGTAGCGGCCTTTGCCCATTAGGAACTTGGGCGATTCATACAGGGTAAAACAGGTCCAGCGGAGGAGACACATGACCGTGGCTATCCCGCCCATGGCGATGAGGAAGTACCGCCAGCCCATATTGTTGGCACGGGTGCAGGTCTCTTCATCGGCGCAGGTAAGATTGCCTAGAATCGGCCAGGCAACCAGATTGGCGAGCAGCTGGGCGAGCGCCCAGTACACGGACAGCACGGTGAGCAAATACTGGTGCGAGCCCGGGAGGAACTCGAGGAAGATGGCGGAGTCGACGGGGAGGTTCCCGCCCACGCCGATGGACCACAGCGCGGTGAAGACACATACCGCCGCGAAGGTGGGTGAGCCGGCTGCAACGAGCCCGAATACTGCGGTCAGACCAATGGTAAGATTGAAGGCCCAACGGCGGCCGAAGATGTCGCAGCCAAAGCCCCAGAACAGGGCGCCAATGAGCAGGCCGATATTCTGGGCTAGAGTCAAGAATGGTGGGCTGGAGATGTGGAATTCCGATGTAACAGGGCCCAGAATAAGCGAGGTCACGATCGGCCAGAGGTTATCGCTTGCCCAGCCGAAGCCGATGACAATAAAGAGTTGCCATTGATAGGCGCCCATGCCAATACTCTGGATGGCAGTGTTGAGTGTTGCGGCGTTGAGCCGGTAGTCGGTGAGTTTGTCTTGGTCATCTGCCATTTTGATTCACGACGTAGATTTGATGGGTTTGATGAATCGGAAACGATGGCGAAGAAGAAGAAAAAGATGAAGACTGATGGAACATTTTCTGCAGGTTGGATGAAGCGTCGGCCCCGCGTCAAATACGGATGACGTGATTGGAGCCTTGTCTGAGATCAACAAAATTCTGATTTTAGCAGATATTCTTTCTCAGGTGTATTTGATATTGATATTTTCATGTTAAATGGTACCACGGAGAAAAAGGATGGAGAGAGATGAGAGTAGTCAAGAAAGAGCCGAGGACAAAGTTGAAGTCATTCACATCCCCAACAGTTTCCACAGCAAGGCTAGTCTGGCTTACACTTGCACAACGTAGTCAAGGCCTTTGACGGCCAGGCTGCCCAGTACATCACTATCACCAATCGTGAGGCTGCTGATGAAGCATCTATTTAACATACCATTAGCACTGCTCATGGTACTGTTTCTCTTTCGGATAAACTAAGTTTATGATGCAGGCTCTTATACTCAGTTCATGGGCAACCTGCTTAGTGATATCTTTGCTAAGGAAAGTCGCCTCTTAGGACCATGATTATGATACATATGATAAGATGAGACTAATGTTGGAATAGAAGCCTCATGTTGACCAGATTGGAAGCGTATGGAGTCCATACTACTCGAAAATGTTGTTGTTATTCCATGGAACCCTAATTATGGATCATAATTAATATGCGTGAAACTCTGATATATTCATGAAGCCATAAGATAGTGAGATGATTCTCATAGTATTCACTGTATCTCTTATTGTTATGAGAATCTGTTTTATCTCAGTTCTTCTACAGGTATACTATACTGACCCTAGGGCCTATGGCGGAGTGATTCAAACAAGTGGAGTCAATCCTTCATCACCCAAAACCACAAGTTGCTTGATCCATCTTCATCTACTAATTCTAACCATAGACCAACTGCTCTCCGTTTTACCTTGATCTATACATAGACAGGACTCTAAGTTTATAATGCCATCCATGGATCCCAACGACATCAATATTGTCACTCACTTCCTCGCCTTCAACCAAATCCCCTCAACTTTCCCTCCATCAGATGCAGCAGACGTCCTCGTCCTCTGCGTCTCCGCCATCCTCCCCATAGCAGAGAAAGTCTTCACGCATCTCGAAAAGAACCCAACAGCAATCCAAACTCTGGTCCTCTGCGGCGGAATCGGCCATTCCACGCCTCATCTCTACGAAGCTATCGCCAACGATCCACGCTACGCGCATCTCCTCCCGGAGATTGACGGACTACCAGAAGCACAGGTCCTTCATCGCGTTTTCACGCGGTGTTTTGATGCACCGAAGATTCTGAGCTCATGTCGTGTCCTGATTGAAGACCGCTCGACGAACTGCGGCGCGAACGCAATTGAAACGAAGAGGCTTCTTGAGGAGAACGGGATCCGTCCTGAGAGTATGCTGATTGTGCAGGATCCGACCATGTCTCGGCGGACGGTGGCGTCGTTTGAGAAGGCTTTTTCTGAAGCGGGGACCCTGCGGTTTACCAGCTGGCCAACTTTTGTACCCAAGGTTAGGCTTGAAGGAGGGAGGCTGGTGTATGATGAGTCTGCCGGGATTGAGGCGTCGCGGTTGTGGAGGTTACCGCGGTTCCTGGGGTTGGTCATGGGGGAGATTCCACGGCTTAGAGATGATGAGAAGGGGTATGGTCCCAGAGGAAAAGGATTCATTGTGCATGTTGATGTTCCAGATGAAGTAGAGGCAGCGTGGAGGAGAATTAAGGATGCGGAGATGGAGTGGGAGAGACGGTAGTTGTGGGTTGATGTCTTGCGTCTGAAGGCATCTTTGTCTGTGTTTCAGTTGAACTGCAATTTGAACTAGTGGCGTGTATATAAGACTGAAGCAATTCTAACCTTGGACCTATTCTCTAACGTCTCCATCGCTGCTGCGCAGAATGGCCAACTCAACAACTCCTGCTGACCGGCATCCCTGGAGGATTGCCCCGAAGCAGACAAACATGAGCTGCCTTGCCGGTAAGCAAATAATGCTGTATGTTGCAGACATCTCACCTACCAAAATAAACTGTACTGACCTTAGCAGCCTTCGCAGCGGAATCCTCCAAGTTCACGTCGACAAAGACGACGATATGGTCACCTTCCACATCCACATCTCCGTTGCCTGCAAATACTCCAGCTTCTTCCGCTCAGGCGTCATCTGGGCCTGGGTCCGATCTACTGGCGACGTTGTCAACCTCCCAGACTACGAGCCCGACACGTTTGAACTCTACCTACAGTGGGGTTACAAGAACACCCTTCCTGTCAGCGAAGAATCGGAAGAGAAACCAGAGTACTGCGACCTACTTCTCCTGGCCAAGGCATACAAGCTGGGCGCGTACCTAGCCGACACTTTCTTACAGGACGCCGTGGCGGACGCCTTAATGCATAGAATGTATGCGAAGAGGGAGACCTGGGGTCGATGCAAAGGCTGTCGGTGGAAGTTTGTAGCGTATTTGTATAATAAGACCGGCGCGAGTTCGCCTATTCGCCATCTTCTGGTCAGCATGCTGGCAAGCAATGGCTATCTGAGGTGGGAGCAGCCGGTCTGCCCAAAGAGTTTCTGTCTGATTTGTTGAACTATGTTTGGGTAGCGACGGCTCATCGGCCTATGCAGGAGTACTGGGGGAAATGCACATTCTAATTACATGAGGCAGAGCAAGAGTGCTATCGCCGTCACTTTATGATTGATTGATTGCTGTTGTCTGGTGATGTGTTGTGCAAGTGCTCATCTTTCTAGTTGTGTTTGTGTTGCAGTTTCTTGTTTGTATTGATTGTCCCCTTCTGGGCCATGACCTCCCTTAGCTCTCGCACAGTAGGTATGCTCTATACTTCGTGCTTCCTTCTCTCTCAAAGGCACACCAACAATACATTAAGATACCTTCTTTCATTCAGGTCATTTAGGCCTTTTCCATGAGAGGTTAAGACCTTGATTCGACGGCAATCTCCATTTAGAGAACCGACTTTCAAGGCAACCTCCGTCAACAGAACTGATTCCAACGAAAATCTCTGGCAAAATGAAGGCTACAGTGAATATCAAGCAGTGGCCGAGCCTGAGGCAGTCTCATTGCTATGGGTATGTAATCTCACGAATTTGACACTTCACTCCCTGACCATCGTTCATCATCTCTCTCCCCAGCTGTCGTGCTCAGAACCTCGATAGCACGTCCTCGACGCCAAAATGGCGGTCGAAATCCTGGATTTTCCCGTCGAGATACTCGAAATGATCTTCTTCGAAGCCATCCGTCCGTGGGAAGACGACATCGATAAGATCATGGACTATGAAACAGGCCTCAGTATTGCTCTCACGTGTAAAAGATTCAATCTCGCCGCTCGACATGTCTTGTACCGACGAATCCAACTGGGTACGCCAGATCTTGATCCTGTCAGCAAACCCGCTGAAGCACTGTCGCAGACGCTGGCCTTGTATCCTGAATTGCGACCCACGTGCCAGTCCTTCCAAATTTATCTCGGACAAGGAGCCTTTCAGCAAGAGACATTCAAAGCAATCAGCAAGCTGGTGACTTTGCTGCATCGCTTGCGCGTGTTCGAAGTATCTGGGAGCAACGGCCAACCGTTGACGTGGCTGCTGCTCCTGAAGGCCATACAGATGAAGACTGTGGAGGAAATTCGAGCTGGTGACTGCATTATACCCCCTCGACAGGCAGCATTGAAGATACGAAGGCAAGATATCTGGGCTGTGAGAATGGCTGCTCTGGGGGACAATATCCCTGGAAATGTTGCGGATTTTCTCGACGATCAGGTGAGCTGAGACCCGCATGTCTACAAATGTGAATAGAGCTGATAGTGCAAAGAATGAAAACGGAACACTCCCTCATATCAAGACAGCGAAGTTCAATGGATTCAGCCAGACCCCTCGACTGCTGCAGGAGATCCTGACCTGGTTCACCGGTCTCGAGCATTTTGCCTTTACATACACATACAATCGCTCGTATGCCTGGTACTACAGATGGAACTACGCTAATATCGGAGCGGCCCTCGACCGTCACAAAGAGACGTTGAAATCGATTCTGATCCATCTGTTTGGGTACAGCTGGATGGGCTTCTTCGACTTGAGAAGCTACACGAATCTAAGAGTTCTCGAACTCTCACTCCAGAACATCGTAGTTGAATCTCCCGAAGCCGCTGCGACCAAACTCCTCGCGCCGAATTTGGAGCTATTAGTGCTCGACTTCTGGACTGTCGACCGCAAGAAGGCCAAATACAATTGTATCGAAAAGCGTGACGAGGAGTGGTTAGTGCAATTCGGAGAACATGCGTCCAAAGTACGAAAGTCCCTACCCCGAGTGCACGCCAAAATCCCCGCCTACGCATTTCGAGGCACCGAAAAGGAGCTTTGGGACGCCCGCTGCACGTTTGAGGACCTCGACAATATCCAGGACGAGCTGCAGGGATACGGCATTGATTTCACATACGATGACCCTCCTGTCTCCAGAGAGGAATTCCGGGAATGGATACGAGACAAGGATGAAATGGACTTGCTTGGGGGACTTTGGAGATACATGAACCGCTATGCTGCATACCACTCAGACGAATCAGATTCGGGATTTGAATCTGACGCGCTGGACACCAAGGAACATGACGAAGTGACTCAGCAATCTACAGACAAATTGGATACCGAGGTTGAGGAAGAGGCCCAGACCTGACCACGTTGCCAATCATGTACTAAATTTTGACGAACTCGCTCTTTTCGGCTTTATGTGTCATGATACCCTTGGAGTGTGTTGTCCTCTTCATGAGACCAGGCGTAAGGTCTGTAATTCGGCTGTTGGGAATGAATAAAGTCCATACTATGTGAAATACAAAAATTGTACTTAGTAGACAAGACACACTATTTCTTTTTACTCTTATCCTTCTCTGTAATTAAAGAGCAACTACAGATTTGGCACCATTAGGAAAAGTAAGATATACTATGCACTGAAAGTCCAGGTCGGTTGACAGTTTCATATAATATGGAATCATCTATTGCCCAGTCAGTTGCCTGAAAGGGAGTTGAATGATTTAATGGCTGGGGGTGAGGCATTATTATGAGACAGAGACAGGTTGTGCATCAGGTCTTGAAGACATGTAGATCATATTAACGGTGATGCTAAACTATGGATTTAACCCGTTGGAGCCTCTGGTTGAGGACTCGAAAGTTGTACTGCAGGCCATAACTACCATCCCTTCCATAGAGACTGATACAGCGTAGTGATATTCCAGGAATTCAATGCGCGTGATAACAAGGTGGTCTCAGTGTCAGTGTCTATCTTCCAGATCATCCAAGAAAACGCCTCTTCTAAACAGCACATGAGCAGATAAATTTGCTAATCATGTTTCGATATTGGCTATACTCCTCTGTCTCTGCTATTCTATACCCATGATCGACAATGTGTCGAGATTGAATTCAAAAGAGGTATCCATCATGTCTGATATGAAATGACCTGTGGCTGTGCGGTTGGGATATATGACATCATCACAGTCAATACTTAGATTAGTTAGTCCTAAGACAAGATCTGAGATACTCATCTTGATATCCACTTAAGTAAGATCATTGACAACGGTAGCCGTCATCTACGCCAAATAAACAATGACTATCTTTCATTGTTTGCATGATGTACCTTAATCGCCACCAACCCCACTCCCCATGACACGCGCGATGATATCAACCATGGAAGTTGAGTTGCGTCAGCCAGGCAGCGCACCATGGTCTCATTGGCAGTTATTCCCCGGCGCTGCTGTCTAGATATCCATCCCGGCTGCTGGGTCAGGGCTGACGTATGGTGCTTGTGCTTGTTCCTGTTGGTATATAAATCAAGCTGACAGAGTCTAGCGGACAGAGTCTAGCTGACAGGAGGACTACTGCCTACTACTTACTACCTACCAATAATCAAAGCAATTTCCACTTGAATCTAAACACTCCACCACTACTACCACCTCAAAATGTCTGAAGACCAGAAACAGAACCGTATGCTCTCGCATCTCTACCTTGCACTAGATCCAGGCTGATTGAGACTGACAGCTGGCCTCCTCGGTGGTCTTGGGACTACTCTAGGCAACACCGTTGGCGGCCTCACAAACACTGTCACAAACACTGTCGGTGGCCTTGGACAAACTGTTGGTGGCGCGACCAAAGGACTCGGAGACACCGTCGGCGGAGCCACCCAAGGACTTGGAGACACTGTGTCTGGTGCTGGACAGGGACTGGGACAGACGACAAACAGTGTGGGCAATAGCACGAAGGATACTTTGGCAAGCATTGGAGGAGAGAGGAAGTAGTAGAGTTACGATGGATGGATGATGGTTCCTTCTGATTTGTATCTTGATTCTGATTTACTTCATGAATGATGTGAAAGCTTACTTTTTCAGCGGCAGTAGGCGTACTACTCCGTATATATATATGGTCCATTGACGGACCAACTGAAATCTATGCACGCAATGTCTCTAATATTTCAGTATCACTGTTTTTGATCTCACTAAAGAATATCCCACATCGATTGGACTAATATTGATTGCGTGATAAAAATAGCTTGGCTTGACATAACAGAATGAATCTGTCGGCCGAATTGACTTTCAGCATACCGGCTAACCGAAGATGACTCAGTGATCAAGTCAATGAAGACCTCGAAGAGCAAATTGAGCCATACAGAGCTCATCTCAGTGAACAATAGTCAGGAGGTTAAGCATTAACCTTGGAAGCCTCTGAACACTGCGTCGTGGGGTATATATACAGCATTTTTCACTGGGTTGGGTTTTGGTCCCTCACAGCGGTGGCGAACATCCTTACTTCGATCCACCATCCTCAAACTTCTTCAACATCACAGCAGTATATTGCATCAGATAATGAGCTGCGGCAATACAAATTCTCAAACACAAACTCAGCTCACAAAACATGATGTGGGCTGGAGGAGGATCGTCCGCAACTTCACCCCGTCGTACGCACCTTGCTCCCGTTCTAAGCGAAGAAAACAACTAACGGCGAATAGATGGTTCTCGGTTACGATGGGGACAGGCATTGTATCAATTCTTTTGAATACACTACCCTACAATGCTCAATGGCTATACTGGATCTCTGTCGTCATCTTCACTATCAATGTCCTCCTCTTCATCACAGGATGTATCATCAGCTTCTTGCGATATACACTGTATCCGGAGATCTTCGGAGCTATGATCGTTCATCCCGTGCAGTCAATGTTTATTGGGACATTCCCCATGGGCTTGACCACAATTATCAACATGTTCTGTTTCGTCTGCGTCCCAGCGTGGGGTGAGTGGACCAGAAACTTTGCCTGGGGTTTATGGATCTTCGACGCGATATTATCGGTGGTGACGGCGTTGTCGTTGCCCTTCTTGCTGTACGTCTTCACTCTCTTCCAAACTTATCCGAATGTGTGACTCAGAAATCTTACAGAATGGCCCATGGAAACGAAACGCAACTCTCCTCCATGACAGCCGTCTGGCTTCTCCCAATCGTAAGCTGCATCGTTGCAGCCTCCTCGGGCGCCATCGTCGCTGACGTCCTCCCCAACCCTCAACATGCCCTATGGACGGTGCTCGTCAGCTATGTCCTCTGGGGCATTGGCGTCCCCCTCGCCATGATGGTCATGGTAATCTACCTCCAGCGCCTGACCCTCCACAAGCTCCCACCCAAGGCCGTCATCGTTAGTGTTTTCCTGCCCCTGGGACCATTAGGTCAGGGCGGTTATGGGTGAGTGTTGTTTCCGTCGTTCTCGCCACTTCAAATACTGATGTCACCAACAGAGCAATGAAACTAGGCAAATCCGCCCAAACCATCTTCGCGCAGACACACACGCTGGAAGCCTCGTCCGGCTCGACCTTCTACACCCTGGGGTTCCTCGTCGCGCTCATTCTCTGGTCCTTCGGCCTGGTCTGGCTGTTCTTCGCGTCGGCTTCTATCGCTAGATGTCGCAGCTTTCCCTTTAACATCGGCTGGTGGGGGTTCACATTCCCGCTCGGGGTCTTTGCCGCCAGTACCTGTCAAATGGGTCGAGAGCTGCCGTCAGAGTTTTTCAAGATGCTCGGAACTGTACGTCATTCATATGTCTTTTGAGGAGAGCTGGTCACTGACTTGTGGCAGATTATTTCGCTTTGTGTGGTGGTTTTATGGATGGTGGTGAGTATTGGGACGTTGAAGGGCGTGGTGTCAGGGAAGCTGTTCTTTGCGCCATGTTTGGCAGATTTGAAGCTGAAGGAGGAGGATAAGGATGTTGCGAAGGCTGCTTGATATGTTGACTATTTTGCTGGGTATATATAGTGGTGATATGGATTGATAGAAAGTATGCTAATAAACGAATTATCTTTAATATTATATTACAGATTTAATCTCGAAGAAATAAAATATTAAGTGGAGGAAATAATGGGCCTGATATTGATCGAGATTATTATTATTTATTCTCCATCGATTTTCCACATTTTATTATTTTATTGATTTGATTTTTCTCTCCTCTCTATTTTTTTATTATTATTTTAGCTCGGTGGTTCTCGATCTCTTTGGGGTAGTGCCAGCATCATCGGACTGATTGATATCATTTACATGACAGTCTCCTTCCTGCAACCTACTTACATTTCTCTACTGCGTATATTTAGAGCAATTGCTCTCTCTCTCTCTTGCAGTTAGACAAGGCATAGAGATAATCCTGGCCCTGGGTGACTCATCTTCACGACCACTGGTGATTTGAGAAGGGCCAAGTAGACACGAAAACACGTGATGCGGAGCCCCCCAAAAAATCCAAAATCCAAAAAATGGAAAATAAAAAATAAAAAAAAGAACAACGCCGACTGTCCATCTCGCGATCCCCAAACATCCATCGTCTTGGCCGTTGTTCAGCGTTGATTTCATCAGAATTCCCTTCTGCTCCTCATTGCTATTATTTTTCTGCTTTCTTTCTTGCCCCAATACCCCCTTGTGCTTCTGCTGTGCTGGGTTATTCATCCTGCCTGCCTTTTCTCGTGTATTATTATTTCTCAACTTGCCTAACCACTGCGCCACTGGGTCGAACCCGCCTGCCGTAGTGACGGCCTGAGGCCACAAATCATTCTCACAACTGTAATCAGACCGGACAGGAGTTGGCAGAACATAACCACCACCTACTTATTTTTTCATTGAAACAATTGTTTCTTCTTGACATACCTTTACTCACTGTGATCCTATCTGTGAACCCATTCTGATCAATTGTCTGTGGTCGATTCCCCTGTGATCATCATCACCAACCCGCGTCATTGTTATTATTGGTTCGAGACGCGGTAGTCACATGTCCTGCTGAGAGACAGCGTCCTTGGCTCATCTCGATACAGCGGACTCCTCATCAGGGATTCCACAGGAAAATTCAATCAGGATGATGGGATACGGGGGTCATCAGTATCATCATCAGCGCCAATCACAGCAAAATGCCCATCCCCAGCAGCAGCAGCATCTGCAATCGCCATCGCTGAGCGGGGCCGCTGCGCATTCAGTCCATGGCAGCAATGGCATTGCTGCCAACAGTTCCCTGCTCCGGGGCCAGCAGCAGTCAGATCTGGCGAGTAATTCGCCCGATCTGAGGAAGATGACTCCCTCGTCGTCGGCGTCGATGGTCGGGTTTACCGCGGGAGGCGGCTATGGCACCTACGGTCATTATGCGCCTCAGGGTACTTCAGATCTTTTGTCCAGGCATACCGACTCCGTCGGTCAATTGAAAGATCCGTATCTCTCGCAGATACAGAGTTTGCAGAGGAACATGAATCCCATGGCAAACTTTCGTCCGCACCCAGCCATGAACCCTCAAGCCGCCATGTCGCCACATGCTCAGGCGATGAGTATTTCGTCTCCGCAGCAGTCCTACGAGAGGTTGCAACAGCATCCCCATCTGCAGCACCGGCAGACATCCCATACGCATCCCTCTGTGACTTCGCCTGCTGCCGCGTCGCCCATGCTTGCGACTACTCAACCTCAACAAACTCAGCATCAGTACCAGCAAGCGCAACAGCAGCAGCAACCACAGTATCCGCAATCCTCACAGCAGACCGCGTATCAACAGACCCAGGCGCAAGCATCTCCGTACCAACAGCATCAGTCGTCTCCGTTTCAACAGCAACAGGCGCAGGCATCGCCATACCAGCAGACGCAGCAGACTTATCAGCAGCAGCAAGCTCAGCAGACGTATCAACAGCAACAGCAAGCTCAGCAGTCACGGTACCAGGCACAGCAACCGCAGCAGCATCAGTTCCAACAGTATCCGTATCAGCGGTACCAGCAGGCTCAACAGGCCCAACAGGCGCATGCGCAGCAAGCACAACAGACACAGGTACAGCCAACACAGTCAGCACAGCATGTGCAGCAGCAGGCTCAGCAGACTCAGCAGCACAACCGCCCGGAAGCGACACAAACGCAGCAGTCGCAACAACCGCACGAGCAAGCAGTGCAGCAAGCATTGCAGCAGCATCGCCAGGCTCAACAGCAAGCCCAGCAACATCAGAGACAGTCCCAGCAGCCGAGTCCCTTCGCTCAGCAGGCACAGCAACATACGCAGCAAGCTCAAGCGCAGCAGACGCATCAGTTCCATCAGCAGTCGCAGCATCCGCAGCCACAGCAAAAGCAAGCGACGCCGTCAATCCAACCGGCGGCTTTGAGCGGAGCAAAACCTGCAACTCAAGAACCCAGAAAGGAGGAAACGAAACCAACGAAGAAGCGCGCTAGACAATCCAAGGCCGCAGCCGCAGCCGCAGCCGCTTCTGCGTCTCCTGCGGTCGCTGCAGGCAAGATCAACGGAACGACACAACCAACACAGGCCGCCTATCGTCCCGAGGCTCCATCGCCTATTCAATTCGTACCTCAGCATCCGCGCCTTCCACAGACTCAAGCTCACGCTCAGGCCCACGCTCAGACGCAGGCGCAGGCTCAACCCTATCCCCAAGTCCAACCTCAGCCCCAGTTTCAACCACAAGCTCAGGTGCCTAACCCGCTGCAGAACCCCACAGCTATGCAAGGCCAGAGCCAGGGTCAAGGCCAACCGCAGACCCAAGGCCAGACGCAGAGTCAACAGCAGGGTCCAGCCCGCCCAGCGAATGCAGCGGGCTCAGGTGCTCCTGGTGCTCCAGGTGCTTCACAGCAACCTGCTCCTACACCCCGGAAGCGCGGCCGTCCACGGAAAAATCCCTTGCCCGATGGAGCACAGCCTCCAAAGCCTAAGCCTAAGAAAGCCGCTTCGACCGCTGCGAGTGCACCCGCCCCGGCCGCCGCTGGTGGTGCTCCGGCCGGCACAGCCGTTCCCGGTCAAGGTCCCAATGCTGCCCCTGGCGCAGCTACCGCTCCAGGTGCTGCCCCGGTTCCAGGTCCTGATGGTACTGTCCCTGCCGTTCCTGTGAAGCGAGGCCGCGGACGTCCCCGTAAATCAGAGACAGCCCCAGGCACAACCCCCAAACCCAAAACACCGCGCAAGCCATCCACCACGAAACCGGGCGGTACTGGTCGGCCACGCGGTCGTCCTCGCAAGGCCGACGTGGAAGCACGGAAGCGAGCCGAAGCCGAAGCTCAAGCCAAAGCCGAGGCAGAGGCGCAAGCCCAGGAACAGGGACAAGGACAGGTGCAAGGACAGGGACAGGGACAGGGACAGGGACAGGGACAGGGACAGGGACAGGTGCAGGTTCAACCTCAGGCCCAGCCACAACCACAAGCGCAGTCGCAGGCCCCGGCTCAACCTCAAATTCAGATTCCCGTGCAGCCTCAGCACCACGTCCAGCCGTCACCTCAGCCTCAGCCTCAGCATCTTCAGCATCAGGCGTCTCCGCACCTGCACGCGCACGCGCATGCTCTTGCAAACCCGCATCAGCATGGCCACCAGCAACAACATCCGCACCAACAGCACCAGCCGTCGGATCCCATGATGTTGAACCCGCCCCAAAAGCGCGGCCCCCCGATGGACGGGAACGACCCGCGCAAGCGCGCCTACCTCATGCCTCATCAGCTGGCGCAGATGGCACCACAGCTGCATCCACAGATGCACCCCCAGATGCCCCCGCACATGTCGCCTCATATGCCTCAGCAAATGTAATTTGTTCCTTCAGTTTCAGCCCGTTTTTTCGATATCATTTCTTTGGCCTGAATTTTCGTCATTGTTGTGGATTAGTTCTATTCTCGTCTTCGCCTTGGCTTCATTTCCTGACGACCGTCGCTGTCGCTGTTTGTTCCATGTCTTCTTTCGTGATGATATTCTACCCATGTCTATGGATTGTCTAAACGGCATGCATCTATTCATACGTTTGCCCAGGCCCCAGTTTCAGTCACGTACTTCAATTTCTTAGTAGTTAGGTTAGTGGCTAGTAATATACCTGTGATATCACCCTCAATCTATTTCATCTCATCGGGGTACTTCATACATTTACGCAGTACAATCTTAACAGGAACAAAGCGTATGCAATATGTAACAGGATCAACCCCACGCGCCATCCGACGCCTCTCCTCCATTTCCATTGCCGTTACCGTTACCGTTGCCATTACCATTACCATTACCACCCGGCATAAAACTCGGAGTAGTCGAATTCACAGCAGTCGGCGTAGACGAAGCAGGCAACCCCGCCACATCGGGCAAATCACCCACCTCAACACCCATACTGGGCGCAATCCTCCTCATGAAACTATCGCAAAGGATGAACGCCCTCCGACTCGCGGCATTAACCGCCCCCATGGCATGCAGCCAGCGGAGGGACTTCTTGGTGCAGCGGATGACAGCCGCGGTGTCGGGGGCAGGGCCGAAGATCGCGGCGTTGGGGACGGGGGTCTCGGGGAGGGGGGCAGACGACGACAAACCCAGCAAGAGGGCGGTGGTAGCTTGCATTAGGTAGTGGAGGATGCTCCACCAGGGGGAGAAGCGGAGGAGCCAGGCGGGGTCGGGGGTCTCGGGGAGGATGGAGATGAGGGTGCAGGCGGAGCGGAGGCAGGAGGCGGAGAGGTTCGTGCGGCGGTTGCTGCCGGGGAAGCTGTTGGTTGTGGTGCCGCTGGTGGTGCCGCTGCTGTTGTTGGGCCCGCTGCTATTGCTCGGGCCGCTGCTGGGTTCGTTGGTGGTGGTGGTGGTGGACATTGACCGGGTGGTTGATTTCGGGTTGGGTGCGTCTGGGGGGGAGGAAGGGGTGGAGGGGGAGGAGGGTTCCTTTGAGAAGGGCTCCTTAGAGGACTTGGGGTTTGAATGTGAGAGGCAGGGTCGGCTGATGGTGATGCGGGCGCTGTAGTAGGCGATCGCGAGGCAGACGCGTTCGCGCATGAAGCCGTCGTCGGGGAGGTGCAGGGTATCGTGTGGATGCTGCTGTGAGGTGAAGCGGTAGACCGGGGGTAGCTGGGCGAGCCAGATGTCCAGTTTTGCGGAGTATTTGCGGACGCGCTGTTCGAGTTGGCTGGCTGTGTCGCGGAGCCCTTGGATACTGTAGACCTTGTTGATGACGGCCTGGGTGATGGTGCAGAGGTCGACCAGACAATGGAAGAAGAGCGAGGGGCTGGGCTCGCAGCTGGCAAGCCACTGCGCATTCGACTGGGCTTCTTCGTCTGTCTCGAAAAGGGTGAGCTTGAGATGGCTGGCCCGCATCGCTGCGTTCTGGAAGAGCTGCAGGGCGTGCGGTTTGTCGAAGTTTTCTTCTTCGAAGGGAATGGGGAGCGGCGCGGCGCTGAGGCCTTCGCTGACGCAGGAGGCGCGTCCTGTCGTGGCTGTCAGGAGATGCTCAACCACGTAGATGGACCACCACAGCCGGCTGCGGGCTTCCTTGGACGCGTGATGCGTTCGGTCGTCCTCAAACCGCAGGTTGATTCCCAGCGACAGCGCGGAGCGGAAGGCCATGCTGGCAAAGTTGGAGGCACGGTTGATTTGGCCCAAGGTTAGCAGATACAGGGCGACCAATATCTCCACCTGGATCTGCTGTAGGTCGGTATGTTCAAAGAGCGCGGTCTCGTCCAGACACAGTTTCCGCGCGCGGTTAAAGTAGACAAGGTCGTCCCAGTCCTCGTCGCTTCCGACACTGGCTGTACCGTTCAACAAGAGACAATACCGGCAACCCAAGGCAAAGATCATGTTCAAGATCGCCAGCCATCGTCTCGGCGGCTTGGACGGCTGACTAAAGAACTGTCGGTACTGGGTCGCAAAGATGGTCTTCCGGATCACCTCGAACCCTGGATGCACCGACTCCATGTACGCCGCGAAGAACCGGTCCGCGAGCTCCTTCGGCGGCAAGTCATACGGGTCGACATCGTCCATGAGCGGGATGTTCAGATCATCGAGGTGGTAGCTCATCGTCGCGATGGGGACATCGTTCTTCTGCTGCAGCTGTTGTTGCTCTTCGAGACCCAGAGTCTCGAAGTTCCCGTCGAACATGCGACTGCGGTTCTCGGCTTCGTCCTCCAGCTTCTGCATCCAGGACACCTCGGAGTTTTTCCCAAAATACCCAGTCGCTCGCGTCTTGTGGCTCCGGTTCAGATCCTCTTCGACCAGGTCGATGGCGTTGAGCGACCCGGCCGACGAGCTGGAACTGTCCGATAGCGCACCGCCCTCATTGTCGCCGTTGGATGACTTTAGAGTCCTCCTAATGCGTCGCGCAGCGTTCGCGTCCACCTCCGTCTCCAAGTCCCGCAGTAAACTCTCATACTCTTTGACTCGGTGCGACAAGATCTCCAACTGCTTCTGATCGCGCACCCGCTTCACATCCAGATAGGAACAGGTGACATTGTGCTCATGGCATTGTCGACAGACCGGCTTGTTGCCGTCGCACTTGATCTTGCGCTGTCTGCAAGGCTCGCAGGCTCGCGCCGACCGGCGACGCTGCGAACGGATGCTATACGGCGCAGCTCGAGGGATCGCTACCTTGGCCACACCCGCACCCGCACCAGCGCCAGTAATGTCTCTTCCCGACGACGAGGTGGAGGACTGATGCGGAAAAGGAGGCCTTTCGTATTGATTGGGATATAGATAGTAGCCAGACTGAGGTGTGCCAGGGCTCAAGGGCAGCCCTTGCCAGTGTAAAGCGGACGAGAGACCATTCGGAACGGGCTGGTCAGGTTCAAAGCTGACGCCGTTACTCTCGGTAGGGTTCAATTCGGTAGATGGATAGATTTCGGAAAACTCTTCCATGGCAGATGCAGATACATCTAGGGATTCATTCGCAAGGCTAGGGATTCATTCGCACCAGATAGGTTCCTTGTTTCGGACAATCCATGCGAATAGTGTCGTGTGTCTTGTCGAGGCTTATCGAGGTAAGCAGTGAGTTTTTCTCAAGTAATTGGAAAGAAAAATTATATCCTGGTCAGAATGTCGAGCAACCAAGCTGATGAACACAGCTTCAGACAAGCTCGAGGATGGATGAGCTCATAAGAAACAGATTTCGCCACAGTGTTGTGACTTGCGAGTGCGTTTTGGTGGGTCATCCACTGATTGATAATGTTGACGTCAATGGGCTCCTCCATCCTCCCTACAAAAGACACTCTGTTTGTACCCTTGTACCGGTTGGTAAAATGCATCCAATTAGTCGGTGACTCTGGTTGCTTTCGCGATAGTTCGTCGGTCGCCCAATATAAATGATTTCCTCTGTTTTCTCCTGATGCACCCTTGGCTCACCCCCTTGGCTCATCCGTATAGTGATGTATCATGTATCGACGCCCAGACCAGCATCAACACTCACTCGGCTTACGTCGCTCAGGGACAATCTCATCCTTGCCTAAACTCAGGCTCTCGTAGCGGTCCAGCATATCGAAGAGTCCCAGTCCCGGATAATCCTGTAGCCCATGCTCCCCTTCCCCAGGCCCATGGTACCGCTCATCCTCGTTCAGCTTCTGTAGACCCTCAGCGTACTCATCCCAGCGCGTCTGCTCCTTGATCGGGGTCTCCTCATCAAACAGATCCTTGAGCTCGTCCGAGACCGAGCTTGACTGGCGAATCCGGCGCCCCTGCGACTTGGCCCGGACCGACTGTCGGAAGAGATGAAACAAGCTCCGACCGAGGTACGACCGGCTCGCAATGATCGAAAAGGAGCTGGCAAGCGACAGAAAGTCCGAGTCCAGGATATCAAAGGACTCCTGCTCCAGCATGGCGAACAGAGCCAGATTGATCGCGTACATGGCGAAGTGATGTGCCCGGCTCATGCCGTACTCGCGCCGATGGAGCCGCGTCAAAGACGAGATGCCCCGGGCGGCCGACTGCGTGATTTCCCAGGCGTTGTATTTGCTGATGGGACTCTGTCGCGGCGGGCTCTCAGGGGTTTTCGGCGCGTCCGACGCGAGGCTGGAGGTATCATCGTCGGAAGAACTGCACGAGAAGAGATTGATGACCAGGGTAAAGTATCGCAGCCGCAGCAGGATGATATGCGGCGGAGGCCGTCGTCCGGGATCGAAGACGTCCGGTAAGGCGTTATGCCAGCGACGCAGCCGCTCGTACAGGTCGTCCTTTCTCTGGCGCAGATACGCTGCCGACGCGTTGCTCTGGTCGTCAGCGAACAAGACCCGGGAGATGTCACGCGCAATCTCGCACAGATTGCACGACTCGTCAAAGTACTGGTTGAGGTAGGCTGGTCGAGCAGCTCGGTGAGACGGATACGGTGTCCACAGGCTGGCTCTGTCGTCCTCTCGACCGATCCGGTCCACGTTGACTTTGGCTATGAGACTGGGCCTGAGGAAGCCAGTATGCACCACGCTATTCATGTCAGATTTCGTCGGGTTCATAGATCGAATCTTTGGACTTACGTATCGATCTGGAACAACCCCCAGGCAGTCCGCTTGATAGAGATATCCATCTCTGGCGTGGTCTGGTCAAACTTCAAGCATTTCGGGCCAAAGAGGCCAAGAGACTCGCCTGCCCGGATGGCCTGATGCAGCATAATGTATCCGAGGTCATCGTTCCCGGAGATGGAGTATCTATCGCATCAGCAGAGCAGGACATTCAACAAGACAGGAGCACACACTTTTCATACAACAGCAACGTCCCCTGCAGGTACGCCAGACTGAGCTTTTGGGAGTCCTCCTCCCTCAGCCGCTCCGCTTCAGACAAAAAGTCCGCGCCCTTGGTCACCAAGTCGCCCGGCACGACATACGCCTCGGAGAACTCGGAGAAGTGCTATCTCGTTCACGGTTCAGCAATCTCCCAACATGGCAACCTCAAGCGGAAACAGGACAGAACAGAGAGAACTCACACAAGCATTCGCCAACAACGCATTCACCAAAAACGGACTACAAAAGTCCGAACCCTCCCTCCCCCTTGCCATATGCGCGAGGAAGACATCGCGGTCCAAAAACGCATGGAACGGATAATCCCACGTGAAATACAACGAGACCAGATGCGAAACGAGGTCCTCATCCTCCGTGACACTCGTCCACGGCTTCGCAGGCACCTTACACGGCGCCTCATCACACAGATAATGGATATCCATGACCTTCCGCCGGAAGCTGGGGTCCGCACCCTCGACATCGATCGTCCGCCGCACATCCTCGAGCTTCTGCACCGCCTGGCCATAGCCCGCGCCCTGGCCCTCCCCGTCCAGCCGGATGAGCGTCTCGTCGATGAACGCGCGGATCTCCTCGGCGGTTGCGTTCTTGCGGATGATCTCCAGCAGCTTGAGTGCGTGAGGCTCGTCCGCGGTGCGGATTACCCGGAAGAGATCGTTGAGCATGTCCCGGTGGTAGTTGAGTTCTTCGGCGGTGCGTTTCTGGGCGACGCGCCGTCGCTGGTCGAGTGATTCGTCGAAGATGCAGATGCGGTTGAAGGCGCGGCAGTTGTCGCAGGGAGGTACCCCGGAGCACTTCGTTGCATGTCAGCCAATGTCCGTGTCCATGTCCAGAAGGTGGAGCTGTTCGGTTCTAGACGAGCAAAATGAGACGCAGGGGGCCTACCTTTCGCTTTGACTTCTTACATGCCAAACACGCCGTCGATACACGTTTCTTCCATGGACTCGTCGGCGACGTTTGGCTTCCCTTGGGGGAACTGTCTGATGTCGGCGAGGTGGGCGAGGTCTGTAAACGGCCGGGGACGATCTGGCGAGGTGTTGAGGTTGGATCATTCATGTCGAGGCATGGGTTGACAAGGGTAGAAGACGCAGGATGCAGTGTTTCGTTCTCTGGGCCTCACAAAGTTAGAGTCATGCGGCCATCGTCGACATAGGACGCTCAAGTCAGCCTCAGTTTGCCTGCATTCGCCTCCACATGACGTTCCGACGACGACGTGACCGAGCACCAGGAACTCGATCCCGACGACCATGGGAGTCCAATATCGCCCCGAACTTGAAGTCACCGGGATCCATCTCCTACGCCTCTCAGTGATTGGTCGTGTGCCATCTGAGATTCCCTTAGACTGTCGGACATTGCAGATGTAGAATGCACTAGGAAATCTGATCAGGTAACAACTACAATTGAAACTACATCTAACACAGAATGTGCAAGTCTTTGTTTGCCATTATGATGACCAGCTAGCGGACGACACCAGTAAGAGATAGTACTCAATGAATCACCATCGCTCAGAAACTCCATTCAACCAGGAGTGGCTTCACAAGCGACACAATTAAATAACAGTAAGAAGAGAAGAACACCGACGAAGTGCTGCACTGCCAAATAAGTTTTTGCACACCACAAGAACCATGCGTAATGCGTAGGCACAATGTGCTTTCCTGGCAATTTCAGTCAACCAGACATCTCGACAAACCGCCCAAAATACCCGGAGGAAGTCAACCCGTTTCTAACACAGTTCTATTAACCCACGCTGCCCGACGCAACTCCTCTCACCACGATGGCGGCAACCGGATATGCGAGGTGAACTAAGAATGATCAAGGGTAGAAGAGATGCAATGAAACTCGTTTCATTTAGTGCTCCAGGATTCTCAAGCTTCCCTGGACCACACAGTTCTCCAGCACCGAGCCAGGGGGAATGTCGATCGTGCTGCCCTCGGTGGCGACGATGATAACGGTACCCTTCAGGGTGACATTGCGGCCGAGGTTGACAGCACCGGTAATTGTGAGGTGGTCCAGCTCGACGATGCGAGGAATGCTGGGGATGCGCTTCTGGAAATCCGACACCTTCTTGAAGTCTGATCCAAGCTTGATGACGGGGACACCGCCGAAACGGTTGGGGTCCATGACGAGCTGACCGTGCTCGAGACGGTAGAGATCCGACTTGACCAGCAAGAGATCGGAGCAAGTCTTGACGGGCAGGAAACGGCGACGGGGAACGTTCACACCGTGAGCGTTCTTGAAGTGGCGGATGGCCGCACCGACGGCAGTCTCCAGCTGGTAGATGGCCTGGTCGGCCTCGCCCTTCTTGTCGGCGGGGATGGACTTCTCGTTGGCAATGATTTCCATCTCCAACTCGTTCTCCTCAACAACACGCTTGATGGCGCGGAGGTTCATCCAGATGTTGTTGGTGTTGAAGTACTTGAACTTCTTGATGGACTTGAACTCGTTGACGTGCTCCTTGGGCACCTGGGCGATTTCGAGCAGACGGGCCTTGCCCTCGTAGTCAATGATGGTACCACCCTTGACGTCGGCCTTGGTCTTGTCGGTCAACTCCATGATGTACTCGGCATCAGTGTCAGCCATGTGCTGCAAGATGCGGAGATCCACAACGGCACCGAGGTTGTCGGCATTGGAGAGGAAGATGTACTCGACACCACGCTCGAGCAGCTTGTCCAGAGTGCCTGAGTTGTACAGCGACTCGAAAACGTCACCATGACCGGGAGGGTACCAGTCCTGCAGAGGAGCGTCAAAGCTCTTGGGGGCGGGGAGGAGAGAGTCCTTGATGATACGAGGGTAGCGGGACTGGTTGAAGGTGATGATGTCGACGTTGTGGCCTTGGTACTTCTTGATGATGGACTGGGTGTCCTGGTCGGTGTTGAACGAGTTCATCAGAACAAAGGGCACGTTAACGTTGTAGGTGCGGTTCAGGTGCTCAATCTGACGAACGGACAAATCCAAGAAGGACATGCCCTCACGGACTTCAATGACGGACTTGGGGCCAACGCAACCCATGGAGGTACCAAGACCACCGTTGAGCTTTACGACGGCCAGCTTGTTCAGGAATTCCACCGAGGCCTCGGCGCCCAGGTCATTGTAGTCGACGACCTGGTTAGGCGCAGGAGGGTTGATGCGGTCCCAGTTGACGACATTGCCCTTGGCCTTGTCGTTGAGGAATCTGCGGAAGAGAGCGAAGAAGTTGTCCATCTCGGCCTCGAAGCGCTTCTTCTCTTCGGGGTCGGGAACGGTCTCGGCGAGGGCATTCAGAGCGTTACGCATCTGAGAAGCAGCGACACTGGTGGAGGCATTCTCGAAGGCCTGAGCACGAGGGAATTGGGTCAGTTTGTTTGCAGAAGAAAAAAAGAGAGGCATGCTGATATGGTATCGCTGCAGCTATCAAACTGAAGATAATAAGGGAGCTTGATCGATGGGAATAACAGTTGTAGCAAAGCTGATAAAAGGGGCAATGATATTAAGGAGAGCTTGTTGTGGTAAACAATGCATGAACTGTCGCAAATTGAAGGAAAGACAGGGTGAGGTATTTAAGCACTGTCGGTGGTTGTGGCTGAAACTAGGAAGCCCAGCTCTCCAGCACCTCCTTCCAACACAAACTGAATTGCGATTCTAGAGCACTCGGAAAGCTTTTCGTGCCACGTTCCGATTCTGCGACCAGAGGAAATGCGACTGCAAGATGATCAACTTACCATGTGAGACTGGGATTTTGCGTGGTGCTTTCCGAACGAGCCATCGCCGGAGGCCTCGTTGGCGGGAGCTCTGAGGTGAGTAGGCAAAGCTTTGGCTGCCATTGTGAAAGATGATTGCGCGGGTGAATTCTAGAGGTATAGAAGTGAAGACGTAGATATCCACTCGAAGAAGAGAGCTTATCGATGTGGTCAAAGTCCGCTCACTAAGTAGTCAAGGAGGCCGAGTTAGTGACGACAGTCTTTTGTGGGAAAGTAGAGGGTGAAAAGGGCGGGAAAAGAAAGCGAGAGAGAACACGAAGCTTGATTTAAGCGGGAAAACAGGTATGAAAGAGACAAAAGTTGCCACGGTAGAGAGTGTCGATCGATAGAGAGAGGGGCAGCAGGATGTCGACAAGCTGCCGTCATTGGCAATACAACAAGCAGGTAATAATTGGGGAGGGGTAGAGGTACTGTTGGTGAAGGTACCTTGGGAAGACAGGGGGAGCACATACATTTTTTCCTGGTTGAGGGACTGTAACAGTGGAGTAGGTAGGGAGATGGTAGTTGACAGAGGAGAGAGAAACAAGAGAGAAGAGATGAGAAGAAGAGAAGGATGCTGGTTAACTAATATAAATGCCTCTACCTGTCGAAGAACGGTCAAGCTTGCTGCCAACTTGGTCGCAGCTCTTGTTATTGTCCTATTATTACTACTATTATTTATTAGTTAGCTATGCGGGACGATGACGATGATGTTCCTTTTCCCCTCCCAGTGGGGTTACGGTAAGACACCGTACGGATTCTGTCCGTTTCCCAGTACATGAGACAGGAATGGACAAACTATGTTGTTTGATTGGATGAAAAAGCTGCAATATCCGAGTGTCAGGGGCGTTGGTACAGAAATGTAAAGTACGGTACCGTATTTTGAACGTTCCCTGTCCTCTGCGGATACACCGCTATCTTTGCCTCCCGATTATTCTTAGAAGCATTTTCTGCCTAAGGTATCTCTGCTCGAATCTCGACTTGTCAATTGGCATCACCAAGTCCCTTATACTCCGTAAGAGCAGTCTCCATCTGGCCCCTGACAATTGACCAACTGCAGCGCATTGAAATCGGCTGAACTCTGTATTTGTTGTAGACACATCTATAGTATTCTAGACCTCAGCCAGGTATTAAGCTCCCCCTTTTCAGGGTTCACAATCTTTGCCCCACAGACCTCGTCACATATCCAGGAGTAGATACTCCGTACATACGTATGTTAACAGCAGACACCATGCATACAGAGGTAACTACAGAGTACATTGAGATGCACGCCTCCCTATGAAGGTGGCAGTACCACTCTCTCGTCCTATCTCTTCCAGAGAGTCCAAAAAGTCCAGCCAGTGATCAGATCACTCCCGTCCTTCCACTCAATAGCAGTCCCCTGTCTAATCTCTTGGCAGTTGGCACCCTCCATCCCGATCGGTCTTTACGGTCTAAGTATAGTCTGGTACCGAGGAGATAGACTAGATAGATATTATCATTGCTAAATTTACCTCACTACATAGTATATCTGTGAAAAGTAGAAATTAGTCTCTGGTACGGTGGTACCATCCACCAGCCCAATTCAAACCCTCAGCGCCATAACACTAATAGAATCCTGAAAGTGCTGGAAATCAATAGCCTATGGGCCATCAATCCCCTGTCTCACAGCCCACAATCCACAGCCCTGTCTCACTATCAGAAAGTAAAATCCATGGGTGTACGATCTAGAACCCCCACGGAAGAATAGGGAAGATTCTTCTTCTACCGTGCTGTGTGCTTTGTTCCCTACTTGTAAATAGTTACATTCTTCTACGGATCCAGATTGGCGGCGTTACTGTCAGGCTGCTTTTGACCGACCGTCAATCTCTCGGAAAACTCAGGTCCTTACCTATTACCGTAGGATTAGAATCATCTGTACTCTGCAAACACAATAGCTTAAGATTACACAGTTCAGTTCTTAAGGCTAAATAGCAAGGAGCTGTTCAGCCAAGTCGGGTATCTTTTCCACAGTTACACCGCCATCGGGACTGGCATCCGAGCGAGTCGCCCATTTCACGTTATAGTGACTACATCGTTTCCAAATGCCCAGGTCAATATTGACATTCAGACGCTACCGCTAACCACGAGGGATATATCATCACACAAACCCAGTAAGAAAAAATAAACAATAAAATTTAGAATCATCAGCATATCCAACCTTCCCTCTCAAAACTATATACCCTATGCCCCACTCACGCTCCTCTTGCTGAGGAAGCTTCGTCGGCCCGTCTTCTTCGAGTCGGGACTGTCCATCAGCTCCGACGACGCATCATTGTTGGAGTGCGCAGTTCCAGGCCGCAGGCTCGATTCCGGCTGCGAGAAACTGCTGCGGATGCACACAACCCCGCTGCCCACCTTGACCTGCTTCTCTTGTCCGGCCACGGAGCCCTGGTCGTCCACAAAGAACAAAGCCTCGCCCAGAGTGCTGTCCGATCCAAATGTCGAGTGGTCGACGACGCGTACCTGGTACTGCGCGTCTGCCGTGGTGTTGTGCACTCGGCAAGTCTCGTGCGAGGCGTCAAACTGCACCGGCCCGCCGCCACTGGCCTTGATGGCCTTGGTCTTGAGTACCTCCTTGGCACCCTTAGGACCGAGCGCCTTGATTATGACTCGGACGTTGGATGATGGAGGGTAGTTGCTGGCAGACACCACAGTGATCGTCGCCGTGCCAGTCTCCCCCTTGCCAGCACTGCCACCAATGCCCAGTCGGTCACCAAAGTGCGACACCACGCTTCGGGTTCGTGCGTGCTGTAATGAGTTGGGAGTCGAGCTTGGTGGTGTCGCACCGTCGACCAAGATGGCCGATGGTGTCTGGGTTGTCTCCGTCTTCGAAACTTCTTCTGGTTCCTCCGGGATCTCATCACTCGACGAATCATCCCCCTTGAACCGCGACATGATGCCATGCTTCAAGAAAGATGCACCCTTGATGACGTTGCCGCCGACAAAGCCGACTCCCTTGACGGGGGCGCCAACGATCTTGCCGGGTGTTGCGAAAGTACCGGAGAATGTGGAGGATCCTTGACGGGACCGCATGACATAGTTTGACTTGAAAAGCAGGTTCAGCCGGATGGCTCCCGACTTGCCGTCGAGTGTCAACGTAACCTCCTGGCTGTGGAAGGGCTCCAGCATTTCAAGGTTGATGTCGGCACCACCTAGGTAGTCGGCCTTGTCACCAAAATCCCAGTCGTACACGTCCACGCGGAATTTGGCGCCAATTCGAGACTTGATGGGGATCTCGAAGAATTCGTTCCATGCAGGGTGAAGAGTCTTCTTCTGCACCTTGGTCTTGAAAACCTCCTTGTCATCCAATTTGAATTTGCAGTAAGGGTCGCTGAAGCCATTGCGGTCTGCAGAGGGAAGCTCGGCGGCATCCAGAACATTCACACGAAGGTTACCCATGTTGTTAATGCTCTCCGACGGGTCAAGCTTCATCTTCACAGGGATGTACCTGGCACTGACTGTCACCTTGCTCACCTCCCCGTCGTTCGACCGGAGAACAAGTTCAGTGGGCGTGTACTGCAAGTGGTCAGTTAACTATCTCCAACAAAAAAAAGGCTTAATCGGCGGTGAATTTACCAAAATACGCTGCAGCGTAGGAAGTGTATCGCCAGTCAGCTTCGCAACTGTGTGTTCGTCGCTGTCGTCCTTGGCATCGTTCTTGTCCACCAGGCGAAGAGTGATCTTGGAGAATTCCAGTTCACGTACGAAAGCATCTCCAACTAATACTGGTCAGCCTCTTTTCCCTTGATTTACCCTCGGGGGACAAACCATCCACGAGCTTGGCAGCTTTTGAGCGGATCTTAGGTGTCGAGTATGACGGGAACATGTGGTCGTCCATCAGAACCTCCAACTGCACATTCGATCGAGCAAGCTGAGCTTCGTGGAACTTGAACACAAAGAAACCAGACTCTGTAATTATGTAAGCAACCTGCCTCGTAGATCACTAAAACGAAAAGAAACAGGCTATGGAAAATACCATATTTAGAAATATTTTCTGGGCCAATGTATGTCTTGGGCACTTCCTTGATAGACCTGACGGACATGGCTTCGGAGTCCCTGGCGGTTGAGAAGCTACCGCTGCGGTTGGGTACCTTGAGTTCATCACCATTAGTCGTAGTACCGTTTGTCGCAGCACCGTTTTGGCCATTGGTGGAGGATTTTGATGCCTTAGAATCGACGCTAGGGTTCTTGGAATGGGAGCTTTTGCGCCTAGAGTCGATACTCTTCCTCGCCGCTGGGACATCGAGACCTTCCATCTCCTCGGCTTCCTCTTCTTCCTCATCCTCAGGGTTAACCACAGGCACAGCCGGGTAGAATGCAACGGTGTAGTTGAGCACACCCTTTTCACGGTGGCCCAAGCGAAGAGGACTTGAGATGAGCTGCTTCTCATCGTCGGTCTCGAACTCACCGTTCTCATTCTCATGGACGTAGTCAGAAGCGTTGATCTCAAATGAGCCCAGGCTCCGGTCAGTGTTGATGGACTCCTCATCCATAACCTCCAAAGTAAGCTTCTCACGGGCGCTGTGAATAGGGACATATACTACCTCATCCCACTCAGGGTTGAGGTTATTTCGGAAAGTAACCGTACGGCCCTTCATAATTCCAGACAGCAGAACCCTGACGTATGGATCAGACTTGCCCATCTTCTCCAGGTTCCGAAGATCAGTTGCACTCTTGAAGTGGAAGCGCATCACACCAATAGGATCAATGTAACCAGCACTTCCAGATATGCCACCGATAGCAACTGGTTTCCACTGCAAGGTCAACTTGGCGCGTCCAGTCTTGGCTCCGTGAAGATGGAACCAGTTCTGGCCCTTCTCCATCATCTTGAGCATATCATTCAGCTTGATTTGATACGAACCAAGAATGGGATCCGTTCTGAGATCGCGATCGTCCTTGATGATCAGCCCCAGGCGAGCCGACTTTCTGTCCGTGATCAAGAATTCCTTGGAGTTGTCCTGGAAAATAGGGTTGTTCGTACGCTTCAGTTTCTTCGTGATGTGGATTTCCTTTCCGTTCAACAGAAGCACGCCGTAGGGGTTAAGTTGGCCAACTATACTCTTCGATGCATCAAGGTCCTTAGCCTGCTCAACGGTAAACCGGGCAATACCAGTGTTCAGTTCCGGTGGGGGCTCAGTCTCGCCGTTCTCCAGCTTGCGACCTTCCAGCACGGGGAAGAATCGAATATCGGCATGGATTGCACCACGCGGTCTGCCGCTAGCCATGACTTCGAGGTAGATGCTTTCGTGCTCTGGTTGTTCTTCAAGCCTGTCCAATGGGAAAGTAGCAGTGCCGAGTTCTTTGTCCTTCCGGTACTCATTCCAGTCGTATGGGATGATTGTGAGCGACTCTGCAAAGGACGTGATAATAACATAGATCGTTTCTCCCCATCTGGGACTATCCGTATCGTGAACGGTCTTCGTGCGACCCAGTTCAATACGATTGTTGAGGGACACCACAGCGTAAGGGTCGGGGGTTCCTGCGAATTTATCCGGGTTCTTCAACTGCCTAGCGCCATGGAGTGTCACAGCAACCACGCCGATAGCCTGGTCCACAGGGTTGCCAGCCAGCATCTTGGCAATTTCGATCGGGAAGACATTGGGGGCATACATCATGGGTTCCAGATTGCCGTGAATCTGCTCCTTGATGAAACTCTCAAGACCGGGAATGAAGTTGATGTCGAAGCCAAGAGTGTCGCCTCCGAGGGGTTTGCAGACATAGTCGATCTCCGGTCGCTCCAAGAAGCAGACATCAACACGCTCGATGTGAGGGAAAGGAATCTGAAGCTTCACCTTGACCCTCATGAGACCGCTGCAAGCCATGTCCTCAACAATCACGTCTAGACCTTTGCTCACAACACCTTTGCCAACTCTGACTTCCAAGACGACCTTAGGGTTGATCTTGTTCTTCAGCTGGCGGGCAGTCAAATCCATGACGTCGTTCGGCGTGAAACTGAATTTCCAATCCATAATGACAGTGTCGACTTCGGTTTTAGGATAGGTCTTGACGTGCTCCAATCGCGGAGGCTTGCTACCCAGGATAAAAGTCTTCAGTCGCAGACTATCGAGCATGGCAGGGGTCGAAGTGCTGAGAACCTGATCCACCGAGTTGATGATCGAGTCGCACAAGACGGGCGCATAAATGGGCCAGAATTTGACCAGGAAACTGTTGATCCATTCCAAACTCTCGGTGTCGGTTTCCAGGCGTTGCTTGGCCATTTCACGGTTGACGTCGTCCCGGAAATTTCGTCGCAGGCGCCGAATCGATGTCCGATAGTACGTACTGCACGCAGCCATGACAATGAAGATCCAGCCCAGTCCGCCGCCCAAGACAGCAACGAGCCAGGAGGCTAAACACGCAAAGATAATCACGCCGGCATTGTGATACCAGTCTTAAATTGCTGTCAGAATGACGGTCATTGAGAAGACATGGGCATGGCATGAATTTCTCTCACCTCCGAAGAACTTATCATCCAGTTTGCTCTCCAGAAAGTCCTGATGATCTAACAATGTACCCTCTGCCTTTTCTTCTTCAGTCTGTGGCTTTTCGAACTGCGGAGCCCATCCTGTCCGGTCGCGCGCCCATCTCAAATCATCGGTGATTTCCGCGTCTTCCTTTTTGTCCTCCTCAGGTTTCAAAGCTTCTTCCTTGATGAGGTCCGACGCTGATCTTGGAGGGGGCAGGTCATATTGGTCGGGAGTTCCATCGTCCTGTGAGAGGGTTGTCATCATTAGGCGTTTGATCTTGGAATGGGGGTGGTGCTAGGAGCCTGAAATGTACTCACAACGTCCGTAACAATAGCTTTCGCTTTGGGCTTTTTGTCATGGTGAAAACCTGGTGGTACTCGCTATGGGGGATGGCGAGAGAGATTAGCGATCATTTACCTACAAAACCCTGGACAGAATTAATGTAAAACTCACTGCTGCTGCGGCGGCGGCTTTCTCTTCAGGTGAGGCGTCAGGGTTGAATTGATACGCAGGCAAGCCAGCTTTCCTTGTTTCCTCGATTAATACCTTCTCTACCGTTTCTGGTCGGAGTTTAGATTGAGGGTCTTTGGAGGCCTCTTGCGCAGTCTCAATGGCTCCCTGCTGCCTCAATTCACCCTTTTGGTTCTCTACGTTCTGCGAGGCCATGGCTGCCTCCGGTATGGGGAACAAAGCGGAAAGCCTCGGGTGAAGAATGCACCTACTAGAAAACGTTAGAGAACCGCCAATGGTGACCTTCTCCTCTTGGAATTGTGGCTGATGAGGACAAAATATGCACAGCTGAGCAAGAAATAAGAAGGGGAAAGAAAATGAGAGAGAAAATGGATCAACGGAAAATACACAATCTAAGGCAATAGTGTGTATTTCGGTTCAAGAGAGTTTGGGGGCGCTCAAGTGGGAGCATTGGATTTCGGCGCTTAATTTCAATGGTTGCCTTCAGGAACCTCCGCAGCGGGGATCCCGAATTGGCGAAGCACGAAGTGCCAACGATGACGAGCTGAGATGGAGATGCACTTGGGTAGTGGGACTTGTTGCGTACCTTGGAACTGAGGCACCCACTTCCGGGAAGATCGAGGATAAGAACGGACGAGAGAAGGGAGGCAGAATCCTTTTTGTAGACTGTCGATTGTCGACAGATGGGTTTATGATAAGTAATGCGAATAGAGAAGAGTTTAATCAGATCAGAGCAACGTAGCCGAGGATTGAGTAGATTTAGAGCCACTTGCGTCAAAAATGAGCGCAGCCAGTGTACGGAGCGTTTAGAGTGGCATGGATCGGCGCGAGAGAACGATATGGAGATTGAAGAGTAGAAGAGGCCGGTGATGGATGCCAATTGATCGGATAGGGGATGATCAAGATATAGAGGAATTTGATATGAAGTACTCCGTACTCTCGAATTAAAAAGGTAGAGATCGATAGAAGCTGAAGTACGGAGGACAAGAAAAGGGATCAGGCCAGCTAGCTTCGGGTCGTGACGTATCTGTCTACTAACCATCCAGAAAAAGGAGGATGAGCTTCCACGATCGATCTACTTCCTAGTTCCTAGGTAGCTTATTACTACTTTCTTTTCCCTCCTCATTCGTTGTTCATTCTTCTCCTGAACGAATCATTTTTGTGGAGACTTGAGACTACTCATAGAACCAGTGATTAGCGTGAATTACAAAAGCAGGAAGTCCTTCGCCTTACTAACGATCTACGTTTCTTCCGAGTCCGATAATATTCTCTGAATTATTAGGCCTTCTTATATCCACTGCGGAATAGCAGTTGTAGTATGAGAATTCAATATACACCAGAATGCTCAGCGGCTCTTTAGATAGCCGAATTCTTCAAGGCGAGGCACGTCGGCCCGGGTGAGCTGCAAACAGCCTGAGGGAGCTCTAAGTAGAATGACTGCACCGCCACATTATTGAATCAAAGCTAATCTCAAAGTAGAAGCTCTGGAAGGCTAAGGTAATAGTGCGCCACATCACAGTCCTCTAGTGGTATGACTACGGAGTATGGTAAAGTACGGAGTACGGAGTACCTTAGGCAGATGTCTACTGCTTCATCTCTCAGGAGAATCATCCTCCAATTGCCACCCTGGTTCTGTATCGGATACCGTCTCTTACCAATCAGGCAGCTACATACCTCAAGTGTTGAGCGCTGTGAAGTCCCTTGCAGAAAATCAAATCCGCACTGGTTCTTGCGACGACTTCAGTTTATCGACGTGTCCGTGAGCGATGCCTGGCTTCGGCATCGTGGACACAGTCATATATCCTATGGACCATTGTCTCTAAATCCAAACTGTAGCACATTGAAATCAGACAACCATCTGAGTAAGGCTCTGAGCGAAATACCGTCACTCTCCTGTTGCCAGTTATCCTCCGTCACCAGCCACACCTCCTCAGAAGAAATATACAGGTCGATTGTGTAACCCCAGGATCTCGGCCCGTCTTAATTCTTGCCACGCAAGTTGACATCAAAGATAATACCTGGCTAGTGTCTTTGCCTACACACGGGCACGTAGCGGACATGCAGTGAGCTGAATTGTACCGCGATCTGAGATCATTGTACAGAGTGGAGTACTCCGTGGAAGATGATATATATTCGGGGTAGGTCAAGCATGCATGGTTGAAACTGATCACCGGCATCCCAATCCTTCGATTCCTTCCTGTCCCATAGAATATTTTTAGAACTTTAAATCACTGCACCTGGTCTTTTTGTTTAATCATAGACACTACTACTAGCAGTTAGACATCGAAGATTGACTACACTATCCCTTTCAGTCCAGTTCATCAATCACTTCTCGTTATGTGTTTATAACTGTACCTTCTACTATAAACAGATCGATTGACAACTTGATACAGCTCGGAAGCCCGGGCATCCACCCATGGTTCTCAATAATGATGCGGGGGAAATCTTGCACCATAGCCGTCTATCCGCCTGAGGCATTAATCTACTCCAGGGCATCCACGTGTGTGATGAAATCGCAATCATACATAAGCCAGAGAAACCTGAAAATTGAGACTTGAGCCTGGACCCTGTGATGGAATGGATCGTGGAATTGAACAGAATAACTAATCTGGTTTCCAGGTCCATGCGCCGGATTTAACTTTGCAAGTTTAAGCTAGTTATGCGGCTAACGTATGGAGGTTTTCTGTTTCGATACCTAGATAGATACTGCGTAGTGATGCAGTGCTCAGATAGGGCTTACCACGTACTATGGTATGTAGCCTTGCACTATTACCTCTCTACAGTAAGACAGGATGTCTTCCCTTGACGGCTTCACTTGAGATAGCAGAGCACTCTGTGTTCTTCCACCCTTCGTGGGCAGCGACTTTGATGCCTTCATTTCTCCTGTGAATGGTCTTTCTCACTGATAATGATAGCGGTGGTGATCTCGAGCTTGTCGAGATTTGACTTGGTGAAGCAGTTGGTCTTGATGGATAAGTGGTTGTTGGCTGACCCCATGCTTCAACTCCAATATTCTTTGCCATGGCACATCAGCTTAGATGCGATTGACAATGAAGCACTTGGATGGTCATGGAGATGCTGGCGACTAATCGATGTCAATGAGATACTTCTACTGATGATGTTTGAAACCTTCAAGAATCAAGTGAGCTAGATTTTTTAGGGCTGTCTGATGCAAGCTAGAGCCAGAAGGATCTCCGTTTCGATGCATATCATACAAGACACTAGAAGAAATCATATCCTTAACTCTTATCTCATTCTCTAACCCCGAACAACTTGCTCATATCAAGAGAACAGGAGACCTTAAACCTTGACCAGTCCCGAGACATAAGAACGCCAACGCTATGCAGACAAAAATGACCTGGCGCAAGATGAGCGCGCTATAAATATGAAGTAAGAAAACAGAAGAAATAACGGGATATCAGCCGTGGGAGGACGATCATTGACGACGGAAGCTCGTGCAACAAGCTAAAATCCGAGGGCCTTTTGCAGCCAAGGATCGAAATACTCGCAGGTCTCCGGACTCACAGCGCCTCCAGGGACGCAGAGCTTGAAGACAGGGCATGGACCGCAGGGTACTTCGGTCATGCCGTTCGTGACCAGCTTGTCGCCCACGTCCTCCACATCACCCTCCGGTTTCCGATTCTTTTCCATTTTCACAGCTGCGGGATTCTTGACCGATTTGTAGAATTGACCATTGTTCAGCGCAACGAGCTTCTTGTCATAGCAGAGCATCTCCAGCAATTGTATGATGCTCTCCTCTCCGAGCCGGACTGGTGTGATCCCACTTTCGTTCACTGCCGCAGTAATCATCGCGACCGTCGGATAGCCCTGATAGCCGGCAGGATAAGGGAGATATTTCTTTTCACCCGATTCCTGCTTTACCGAGGCGCGCCCGTCGGCCGTTTTCAAGCGCTTGTTCCCGGTAGCAGGAACCTCATACCAGCTCTTCCGACTAACGGTATACTCGATGAAGCCAGCAACCGTACTGATAAAGTTCGCGTCCAGTACTCCGTCGGTAAACCAAGCACCACCCGTCACATCCTCACTCGGAGCAAGGCCGGCCAGCATATACATCTTCCGACTCGGAAACTTGACATTGTGGACACTCTTGATGTAACTCTTCCCTTCCAGTGATTTGAGGCAACGATCTAGAATAGATTTGTGTAAGTTAGTCCGATTCTGAATCGCACGGACCCAGATGCCGTTGCGTCCTGTCGAGTGGATGACATTGTAGACTAGACTCTCGTCGGGGCTGAGATTCTGAAGCCTATGCGAGAAAAGAATAGGACGTTAGCAGCCGTCCACATGGACTGGATGGTATCTCATAGGTGACATACTTCTCAGCATCTTCCCGAGAAATGATCTTCCATGCCAAACGATCATTTTTGCCCTGAAGCAGGCGAAACAGTTTTTGGTCAACAAGCAACTGTGTGCATTGCAGCAGAAGTGGTAGGTTATTCCTCTCGACGACACCCAAGCCCAGCAGGTCTTGTTGATAGAAGAGATGATCAGAGTCGTATCTCTTCAAACATTCGTCGTAAAGCTTAGATGCAAGCTCGTTGATAGAGCTGCCAGAGGGGCCTGCGGAGGCCATTTTTGAGCCGTCAGTCACAGAGAGAGAGAAATATCACCGGACAGCATTGAAAGTGAGCATTGTAAAATAAGAATAAAATAATCGAACTCCGATAAGCGACGCCAACGGAAAACAACCAGACAGAGCAACGCAGGATAGCACGCGCAAGGATAGATGCACGTCCTCGGCTGAGTCAAAATATTGTAGCAGCGTGACTAACCACTATGTAGGAAAATGCGGCGGAGATGTTATTTTTTTGTTCGGCGGTGTCTTCCCCTCAGCCCAGAAGGGTTTAGGGCCAGTGAAGCTCCAGAAGGCTTGGCATTAGCTTTGCCTCAGGCATCCATTGACTTCCTCGGAAATTTCCAGAAGCTCCAGCGGGTAGAGCTCATTAATATCGGCCCAGCTCTCTCTCGCTTTGTCCGTCATCTGCTGATTCTCCACCGCAATTGTTTCCAACCAGTTCCAGCGTACCAGTCCTTGACAAAAATCTTGCAGTATGGCTGACGCTTTGAAGGCAGAGGGCAACAAGGCCTTCTCTGCTAAGGACTACCCTACCGCTATGTACGTATTATATATTTATGCTACCCCGCTCGTCTGAATGAGGCTGCACGGGATTCACGAGAAGGTAGACTAACCATTCTCTGCACCGGAACAGTGAGAAGTTCACACAGGCTATTGAACTTGAGCCTAGCAACCACATTCTATACTCCAACCGGTCAGCTGTCTACGCTGCGCAGTCGGATTACCAGAAAGCTCTGGACGATGCCAACAAGGCCATTGAAATCAAGCCGGACTGGTCGAAGGGTTACAGCCGTAAAGGAGCCGCTTGCCGTGGTCTCGGAGACCTCTTGGGTGCTCACGATGCCTACGAAGAAGCTCTGAAGCTCGATCCGAGCAACGACCAGGCTAAATCCGGTCTCAACGCTGTGAAGAGAGCCATCGATGGAGAAGCTAGGGCCGACGGTGTCGACCCTGCCGCTGGTTTGGGTGGAATTTTCAACGATCCTCAGATGTTCCAGAAATTAGCCAGCAACCCCAAGACCTCCCACCTTCTTGCAGACGCCGACTTTATGGCGAAACTCCAGCGCCTCCAGCAAAACCCCAACAGCATGAGCCCGCAGGAGATCCAGGATCCCCGTTTCTTACAGGTTATGAGTGTGTTGCTGGGAATCGACATGAGCTTTGGAGCTCCCCCGGAGGCCGCTGGTTCCTCTCAGGCTGCTGCAGAAGCTGAGGAGGACGTGCCGATGCCCGATGCGAAGCCCGCTGCTGCCGAAAAGAAGAAGGAACCCGAACCGGCACCCCAGCCTGAGCCTGAGCCCGAGGATGAGGAGACGATCGCGAAGAAGAAGGCCCAGGAAGCTGGTGACGCCGAGAAGAAGATCGGCAACGACTTCTACAAAAAGAAGCAATTCGATGAGGCTATTGAGCACTACACCAAGGCCTGGGAGCTCAACAAAGACATTACATACTTGAACAACATCGGTGCCGCCAAGTTCGAGAAGGGTGATCTCCAGGGTGCCATCGAGATCTGTCAGAAGGCCGTTGAAGAAGGCCGCGAACTTCGGGCAGATTTCAAGGTCATCGCCAAGTGAGTTTTGCAGTCTTCGTCTCTTCGTCTGACTCAGCTAACCATTTGTCTTCAAAGGGCCTTCGCGAGAATCGGTACCGCTTATGAAAAGCTTGGTGATTTCACACAAGCTATTGAATACTACCACAAATCCCTCACTGAACACCGCACTCCCGATGCTCTCACCAAGCTCCGTAACGCAGAAAAGGCCAAGGACAAGGCCGAGAAAGAGGCCTACATTGACCCCGCCGAGGCAGAAAAGGCTCGCGAGCTCGGCCAGAAGAAGTTCCAGGAGGCGGACTGGCCCGGTGCTGTTGAAGCCTTTACCGAGATGACCAAGCGCGCTCCTTCCGACCCCAGAGGATTCTCGAACCGTGCCGCTGCCCTCATCAAGCTTATGGCTTTCCCCCAGGCCGTTCAGGATTGCGACGAGGCTATCCGCCGTGATCCCAAGTTCATCCGCGCCTATATTCGCAAGTCTCAAGCTCTGGTTGCCATGAAGGAATACAGCAAGGCCTTGGATGCCTGCACGGAAGCCGCAGAGCAAGACGACGGAACCCACACCCGTGAGATCGACCAGCAGCAGCAAAAGTGTCTGGAGGCTCAGTTCAGCGCTCGTGCTGGCGAGACGGAGGAGCAGACCATGGAGAGAATCCAGAACGACCCCGAGGTAAGTCACTTCAGCCTTTTTCATTAATTTTGGCGTTAGTTCTAACGTGCCGCAACCAGATCATGTCGATCCTTCAGGACCCAGTCATGCAGAGCATCCTCCAGCAGGCCAAGAGCGACCCTGCTGCCCTGCAAGAACACATGAAGAACGTCCAGGTTCGGACGAAGATTCAGAAACTCATGGCGGCTGGTGTCATCCGTCTCGGTCGGTAAACGATCCGGGCTCTCGTCACGGAGATATGATGGAAATGACCTGCCGATCCTCTTTTGCGAGCTTCAAAATTGTCCTTGCAACGGCTTACCGTTCCCTCAGAATATGTAATGAGGTGATGATGCATGTTTGTTGTACGCTCTAGTTAATCATGATATGCTATGAACATACCAGTGCTTCTTAATGCTTCTGTAACTCGAAGATTTACACCAAGTACATCCAAGCTCAGCCTACAGGGCCGCCTTAGAATTGTATTACATCAGTTGCTATCCCGTCAGGAAGAAGACAGTTAGTTCTTGCTATCGCACATGTCATAACGGTACCGATTCATGAAGGTACATGTGATGGGTATATGTACAGTGAAATAATAACATCGCATAGTGAACGCCAGACCAGAAAAATCAAGACATAACAGCAGAGACCAACTACTTGCCCAAGTTTGACTTGCAATGTGGGCAATACCAAGTTCCCACCGGCTCCCTTGTCAGACCAACACACTTCCAATGGAACCACTCGTAGGGACAATTGTCGTTATCACACGCCACCATGTCTCCATGACTGACACTGCGGCAGGTACAGTAGACCTTGGTATCCTCGTTGCCCTCCTCTTCCTCATCTTCCTCGTCAATGTCCTCATCCATGCGTCTAGAATCACTGGCGTTGGAATCCGAAGCCTCGGCACTGCTGAGGAGCGAATCGTCCTCATCTTCATCGCCGCCCGCCGCAGACGGGGACTTCTTGGCCGCACCGCTGAGCTTGACACGACCGCTCGCACTGGAGGAGCGTTTCGTCGCTTTACCATGGGCCTTGATCTTCTTGAGTTGTTGATGAGGCGCAACTTTCTTGGTGGCGGCCTTCTTAACTGCGCCTGTTGCGCGCGGCCCGGCGCTGCCTGCGCGACTGGAAGCCGGTGTGCCTACCTTGGGTGTGCCAGGGCCCAGGGATGACTGCCGGAGATTCGAGGACGCAGCGGGAAGAGTGCCTAATGAGGCGTTGAGCCGTCGACGCTTGTTCTCTACCGCTCCTGCCGATGATTCGCGTTGCCGGTGTTGGAAGTGGGTTGTGCCAGACGGGGTTGCTGGAGCTGAGCTGCGCGCGGCGCCTTGCGTGGCCAATGCCGCTGAACTTGTAGACCGCGCAAGCGACTGGTTGAGCCGTTGTGAGATGCCCAGTAACGAGTTGGTGTTGCCTGACGTGGGTTGGAGAGGGGAAGAGGTAGTATCGGCGGCGGTTGCATCGGGAAAGAAAATCTTGGGTGGATCGCGGTACTGGTCTTTGTTGTTGAAAAGGGAGGGCAGAGGCGGATCATTTGGAAGCACGCCATCGTTTTGTAGATCGCGTATCTTGACGTCCAGTTTCTTGATTTGGCGATCGAGCAGGATGCATGCTTTCTCGCTCAGCTGTATCTTCTCGTCCTGTAACTGTTGCGCCCTGTCCAGATTCTGTAGAATCACCTTCGAGTACTGCTCTTCTTTGGGGTTCGGCGTGAGACTGCCATTGAGTTTGATGAATTTCTGTAAACTGCTGTCACGAGAGTTGATGGTTGCGCGACAATCCTGGATGATCTTGTCCTTGGCCTGGATCTCTTCCATCAAGTGGTTGATTTCTGCTGGAAGATTCGCCACATCGTGAACGAACTGCTCCAACACGGAGGCACAGTCCTCGGAACCATGTGCCATGTGTGACTGTATTGTTGGGTCTGATTCTGATGAACCTATGCTGCGGTTTCGCGCAGCCTGTAGTCGATTTATGATCGATTGGGCTCGGTACAATGATCAAAGGTTGGTGGCGGAAGTAGTGACTTGCGGCCGGGTGTTACCGCCTACCCAGATAAGACGTTAGTTAGTTAACGTAATCGGACACCGAGCGAGACATGACACCGAGCGAGACACCCTTCAACCCCTGAAACCCTGCAACCACCAAATCACCATCGGATCCAGGTTTCCATCCAATATGGCATTAAAACAAACTGATTCAACAGTCGAATTAGAAGATCGCATATTACTTGCTGTCAAAGCATACCAAAATGGCCAGTTTAAAAGTATACGAGCAGCAGCAGCAGCATATGATGTTCCACATTCCACTCTAGCCCATCGAATCAAGGGTCGAAAAGCAAGGACTGACATACCAGCAAACTGCCAGAAGCTTAGCAGTCTAGAAGAAGCTTCCCTAAAGAAATGGATTCTGGATATGGATGAGCGAGGACTACCACCAACACATGCTGCAGTTCGCAAAATGGCAGATTTACTACTCCATGAGCGAAAGGGGGAAGCAGTCAGTGAGAGATGGATCACTAGATTCATCAAACGGCATGATGAACTTATATCCAAATACACTCGCAAATATGATTACCAGCGTGCAAAATGCGAAGATCCGGAAGTCATCAACCAATGGTTTAATCTTGTTCAGAATACTATAGTAAAATATGGTATTCTTGAACAGGATATCTACAACTTTGATGAAACTGGCTTTCAAATGGGTGTGGCCTCTACAGCAAAGGTTATTACTGCATCTCGTCACCGAACAAGCCGTGTACGAGCCGTACAGCCAGGGAATCGCGAATGGGTGACTGTCATTGAATCTATCAATGCTTCTGGATGGTCTCTCCCCCCTATGATCATCTTCTCTGGCAAGGTCCATCAATCTCAATGGTATCAAGACATCAACCCTGATTGGGTGATTGGTCTAAGTGATAATGGATGGACCAATAATGAGCTTGGTTTATTCTGGTTAGAAAAGATCTTTGAGAAGCATACTGCAACACGCACCCTAGGAAGATATCGGCTTCTGATTCTTGATGGCCATGCTAGCCATGAATCTGCGGAGTTTGATCTTTTCTGCAAGAACCATCAAATTGTCCCTCTTTATATGCCTTCTCATTCATCTGATAAACTGCAGCCTCTTGATGTTGCCTGCTTTGCACCACTAAAAGAGGCATATGGTGCCGCGGTGATGAGAAGCATCCAGAATGGCATTCATCACATTGATAAGGAAAACTTCCTTGATCTTTATAAAGAATCACGGAAGGCCTTATCATCCAAGAATATCCGCAGTGGATTTGAAGCTTCTGGTTTAGTTCCTTTGAATCCCCAAAGGGTGCTGGATAAGCTTACTATCAAGAATATCACCCCCCCAAATACTGCTTATGGACCTCCAGAGGGTGAATGGATTGCAAAGACCCCTTATACCTCTGCTGAGGTGCAAAAGCAGATGGAGCTTATCAAGCAGCTTGTGAACCGCAACTCCCAAAGTCCCCCAACTGAGGCTATCCGTCAGCTAGCGAAAGCAGCTGAAACTACCATGCATGAAGTTGTTCTATTACGGCACCAGGTAATTGAGCTTCGTGCAGCAAACAAAAGGCAAAAGTGAAAGCGCGCGGCCCCTAGATCTTATATTGCTACTGGGGGTGTCTTGACAGGGTCTGAAGGTCAGCAACTTGCTCAAGAAGCTCTACAGGCTATGGACTTGGTGGAACCAGTTTGTAAAAAGCGTGCGCCACCACGATGCAGTAACTGTCATCACATTGGTCATATTAGAACAAGCTGTCCCAGTAGAACTAGGTAATTCGAAAACTTTTGCTTTAATTTGACTGCGTGGTAGTAAGATATCTCATGGTTTTCGGCCTCGGTTAAAATCACGTTCAGGTGTCTCGCTCGGTGTCATGTCTCGCTCGGTGTCCGATTACGTTATCTCAAGTTTGCTGACTAATCTCGTACTGCTGGCCGAGCGGTTCTTTTTGCTTCTTCTCTTGTTGCGCTTCTACACTCCAAACTTCCATCGTCGGTACGATTCCGTCTGCGGGGGTTGTTTTTTGTTTATACACGGTTGTCAAACATGCAGTCCCTTTGTCTTTGTCGTCTTAATGGCAGTATAGGCCTCAATCCGTAAGATTGTTTGCTCTAGATCTCTTTGTCTGTCCAATCCTCAGCTAGATTCATGCACTTGGATGATTCATCTGTATAGACAAAGCCAATGAACTATGATTCTCTTTGTGCGCAACATTAGTAGGTACAATGCAACGCCATAGGGTATAAACCGCTTGATATCCCCGCATCAAGCTGTTCTCTCCCAACTTTTCTTTCTTTATCAGATGCAAATTGTGTCCATATGACGTCGCGTGCTCCATGACAACTACATAAAGGTGCAAACAGTGCAAACCGCTTCTTATTTCGTTGATTCCCCGCGCTGGAGGATTGACCGGCGAACAGCAACGGACTTTTCGCCAGCCCTATCTGATATTTAGTGACTTTGTGACGCATATCGCACGTTGAGATCTCATCTGGATGCTGAATTGCTGAGCCTTGTAAACTCAATTGAGGTGTGCAGGTCGATACAATTGTCCACGATGGGTCAAGAGACGACCCCTCCGTGCCCGGAGGGCATTTTCTCCCTTCTGGATACAGATCTGTATAAGCTGACAATGCAATGCGCTATTTTGAAATACTTTCCCGATATTCGTAAGTTTTTGATTCCGGACATACAGCCTAGAATTGCTTTGATCGAATTTCTTGCGCAGATGTTACATATGGCTTCACGAACCGTACCCCGGAAATGAAGTTGACGCGGGGTGCTTATAAATGGCTCCTGGAACAAATGGACAGTATGTGAATTTGTTCTACTCAACCTGCGGGATCTTGGTATTGACTCGTCGCCCTGGATAGGGCTTGCTAATGTCCGCGTGACCGACGAGGAGATTGCTTTCCTGAAGAAGCAATGCCCATACTTCAACCATGCCTACCTCCGATACCTGACTACGTTCCAACTCAAGCCTTCGGAGCAGATTGACATCAAGTTCACACCTGTACAAGACACGGGTAGCGATGACGACTTGGGAGATATTGAATATATGGTCAAGGGGCTTTGGGTTGAGACTATCCTTTACGAGATCCCACTCCTCGCCCTGACAAGTCAGGCGTACTTCATGTTCACCGACAAGGATTGGGATCATAGCAACCAAGAGGAAAAGGCCTTCCGCAAGGGCTGCACTTTGCTCGAGAACGGATGCATCTTCTCCGAATTCGGCTCCCGACGTCGACGCGATTACCATACGCAGGACTTGGTCATGCAGGGGCTATGCCGGGCTGCTGAAGAGGGAAAGCGACAGGGCTGGAAGGGTGTCTTGTCTGGGACCAGCAATGTGCACTTTGCGATGAAGTATGGCGTGACTCCCATCGGTACCGTGGCCCACGAGTGGTTCATGGCCATCGCTGCGATCACGGATGATTACGAGAATGCGAACGAGCTGGCTCTCCGCTACTGGCTCGGATGTTTCGGCGAAGGGGTATGTATCAGTTCCTTCTTAAATGATGCAGACAAGCCACTTATCATCATACTAGGTCCTCGGTATCGCCCTCACCGATACGTTCGGTACCCCGGCTTTCCTCGACGCCTTCCGGAAGCCGATCCCTCACCATACCAGCGCAGGTGTCGGCGCCGTCTCCACAATTGCATCGGGAGCGGGCACAACAAGCGAGTCGCAGCCTCAGAGTGAGGCCGAAACCAAACCCCCAATCACCGCTCCCCTCCACGAGAACGACTCCCAGCATTCTCCGAAGACATATGCGCAAGTCTACACGGGCGTCCGTCAGGACTCTGGCGACCCAACCTACTTCGTCAAGATGGTCCGCGACTTTTACGACAGAGAAGGGATCAAAGAGAAGAAGACTGTCGTGTTTTCAGATTCGCTCAACATCGAGCACTGTCTTGAGTACAAGACCATTGCCGAGGAGGCTGGCTTCGCCCCCATCTTCGGTGTCGGGACCTTCTTCACGAGTGAGTTCTGTCCCGTCTAGTCCCCAGTCCACAGCTCCACTAACCGTTCGACTTATAGACGATTTTACGAATAAATCTGACGGCAAGAAATCAAAGCCACTCAACATCGTCATCAAGATCGCTACGGCTAACGGCCGCCCGGCCGTCAAGCTGAGCGACAACATGGGCAAGAACACGGGCGACAAAAATATGGTGCAAGAGGTGAAGAAGAGGCTAGGATACATCGAGCAATACTGGGAAGAAGGCGATGAGAGCAATCGCTGGGCAAAGCAGAGATAGCATATGCTAAGGTACTGTTGTTTAACAGGCCGAAGCAGCTCTTGTACATCTTGTACATCGAGATACGAATCTGGGATAGATTGGAGGTACAACTAGACTTAGATAATTCATTCATGGCTGCTTGATTGTGTATATTGCTTATACAACAGCGACGAACAGGCTTTTTTGGATGATGCTCGATCCACAGCTACATACGACGGAACGAATAGTAGTAAAACATAATAAGTAAAAGTAGTCATGTACAATCCGACAAAGGGAACCATGGATATCACAAAAGTAGCATAATCCAATACACCGGCTCGAAAGGAAGTCAACAACGAAAATCATCATCATGTAGTGCGTCATTAATATGAATCAAGAGCCAGACCCAAATCCCTGTCCAAATCGCCAGTGATACCGCCATGGCTATGGCTTACCGAGCCCGTCTCGGGATACTCTGGGTTTAGCTCTGCGCCTCCGAGAAGTTCGTCTGCCCAGTCCACATCTAGTTCCGGGACGGAAGAGATATTCGGGTCTGGAGACGCAAAATCGGGGAAGGAGTCGATGTCAATGCGCAGCAGATCTGCAGGGATGAATGAGCTGATTGTTTGAGGGGAAGGGAAGTTGTTGAAGTGGTCGTCGAAATCATTCGTAGGGGTAGGTTGCTGTTGTTGATGGTTCGTGTGTTCGGGTTCGTTGTTCGATCGGGAGATTGAGGTGGCAATGCTAGCTCTGTTCGTCTGTAAGGACTCAGTGCGGTTCTCTTTAGGCTGCGCACCCGTTGCTCCCACGAAGGACCCTCGCCGATCTGGCGAACTATCCTCTGGTGAAAAAGCCGTATGCATGTTTGAATCGATGCTTTGTCTGCGCAATGGCGGTCCTGGGGGTTGCAGCTGGTCGATGCTAACGTTGCTGTATTCCATAATCTTGAGGAAAGTGCCAACACTATCGGACTGCACTTTGACTGCTGCCTCAATGTTGGCGACTTCCATGTCCGCGGCGGGATAGAGATCCCTCAGTCCCCGAAGGACCTGGATGCATCTCTGAAAGTGGTGAAGGCTGGTTTCTCGGACGGTGGGGTTGTTGGACATGATATTTGACAGGTGCGCCACGGCTGCTGGTATGATCACAGTGACACCAGACTGAGGGAGGAACCGAGTCAGATTTAACTGATTGAGCCCCTGTATAATGTGTGTGATACCTAAAGCTGCATCGTGCATCTTCGATCGCGCAGTTTGCGCTATTTCAAGGCGCGATTTGTCCGGATCCCGCCCATAAGCCCACGGCCTGTACAGCGCGCTTATGGTCGCATGATAGAGCATTCTTAGCATGGCGCCATGAAGGAGAAGAACGTCTTCTCCATCCTCGAAGTTGGTTTTGGATGCGGGAATGTATTGCGCATCCTTCGGCAGGGCGCTGAGCCACGAGTCCAGTCTTTGGCTGCATCGAGCCAGCTCAGATTCTGAGGCCTGCCGCGGGACAAGCGTAATGGTGGTCCTATTGGTCACACCGAACTGGCATTGAGAAGTTGTGTATTGCGCGAATAGTACCCGGCCAATGCTCTGGCAAAGCTTAGCTTTTTCAATGAACATAGTCGCTAGACGCTTCTGGTGGGACACATCCTCCAGTTGACGGCAGCGAAATATCTCAATCACGGACGGATGGAACGGTTCAAAGTCAAAGTCGTCCAGTCGCAACATCGGAACGCTACTGGTTCCTTCATTGATCTGGGTTGGTCGCCTTAACCCCATGGCAATAAGACGGTCTCGACAGTACAAGCTCCACCACAGGCGGACCCGTAACCGTTTCATTCTGGGGTCCATGTCGGATGTGGTGGGGTCTCTGTTCAATCCTATTGAGTGGGCCTGCGTGTTGCATATTCCTATCCAATCCCAGATGTCTCTTTGTGGGTTGTTGACGTGGTCCGACCAATATGTCATTAAGAGGAGCGTCTGCAAGATGGCGATTCGATCTTCTTCACAGTCTAGCGAATAGAGTAACTGGCGTAAATGTTAGACACGAACGGGACCTTCACCCTTTCCTGACAGCGTACATACCCTTAATCGTTCATAGAAAGCATTCCGTGCACTCTTTCGTGTCGTATAACCAGCATCTTGCAGATGTTTGAAATCCACAAACGCCGTGGCAACAAACATCACGGCCTGAAACAAGAGGAGGCTAATGTTTCCTTCCGGGTCATTTTCTGCAACGCATCGCAGGAACTCTTGCAGGTTCAGAACCGGCATGAAACTGTGCACCCATTGAATATAGCATCGTAGTAGCTCATTCCGCAGTCCGGTCTCGGGAATCGAAAGTGCACCTCGAAATCTCAGAAACTCCAGGTCCTCCGATGATATTCGACTGGGAAGTGGCTTTAGAAAACGCGGTTCGTCATCAAGGATCGCGATGAGAGGGTCAAAATCCGGGTCAATAAGATCCTGTACTGTGGAGACCATGTTGGCCAGCGGAAGGGTATGCTGCACCGCGGGATTCCCGGCTGTTCGCCGACCTAGCGACGGTTTGGAGTCGAAGAGCCATGGCGTGCGGGCATCATATCCCAGAAGGTTGCTCTTTTTGGCGTTGGGGTTCTCTGCGTCGATGTCTACGTTAGACAGCTTGCGCTTGGTGGTTACCATCCTGATGGAGGTAATTTGGATATGGCTGCGCTTGCAGCAAAACGATGTAATCTGATATACATGAACCGGGTATGAGCGGCTAGATAAGAATGAAGAAGGGGATCGATGGCCTTGTCTGTGTTCTAGGTCTGCACATGATCACTTCCTGTACAGCTATTTCCCCGGCCAAGGGAGTAAAGCGGTTTTCGGAGTTTGTGCGGGGTTTTTGCGGGGATACGATGCCTCTGGCGTCTTGGCGATATCAATGTCGAGTTATTGGTCTAGACCAATTGGTTCATTCTTCAAGATTCAAGGGAGCGCTGCAGAAAAGATAGCAGAGGATACAAGCCTATGCGTCCCAATGCTTGTACAATCATATTCGCTGGCCGCTCTGACAGAGGCGTTGGAACACTGCAGGGAATGTTGGGATCATTTGCTACCAGATAACCGGAGGCCCCATCACTCTTCACAGTCAGGAATCTTATCCTGGAGAAGGCAATGAAGACATGAAGATGTCAGTTCACTGATGTTCCTGGTCACAACCAGGCAGCAATGCATCTCCTCTCCAGCAAACTCCCCTTGTCGTTCTACGGACATGCAACCTCCAGCTTACTTTCCCAGGAACTGCGGGTCAGATAGAAAAGGTGACAAGCAGCCAAATGCACAAAATATCATATGCAATAACAGATCGCATGTAGTTAGACGGAGACGGGGGGATGCGCAACTGATGAGCGTCGAATAAGCGAACCGCGCTGCTCGAGGATCATGTTTCGAAGCGAGTTTGCTCTCCTTTGATGCGAATTTGCTACTTGTGAATGATTTTTTGAGTTACCAAGCAAGATCAGACAGCACAGCCCTCGCACCACGATGTCTATCAGAACGCCATTTGATATTCAAAGCAGAAGCAGAGTGATCCGAAATATTCACCCAAAAGACGTATGCCCACCAAAGCACAGATTATAGTACATGTAGCCGTTACATCAAGGCCGGGACAAAATATGATAGAAATAAAGCGGTCTCATCCCTGTCATGATCGAGTGGGTTGTCGATAACTCTGCGGCTTATTCCGGAGGTCTCGAGCCGCCGATGTCTAGATTTCATCGGAGTTTGTTCACAGACTGTCCCAATCAGTTTCTGTACCAGAATGGCGTTGAGACGTCTGGAAGGTATGGGTAGTATGCTTCGACTTACGGAGGGAGGAGGAACTCGCTGAGGCTGCTGTGAAGGAATGCAACGCCGGCCTAAGGATCTCGAGCGTTAGCCGTGATCCTTCCTAGAAGGCTTTTAAAAAAGAACCTTAGGATAAGAGGCACTTACACCGAAGACAAGAAGGCTTCTGACGATGGTGGCATTCTCGGGCGCGGTCAGCTCTTCATATGCAGCTCCGAAGAAGCCCTTCTGGGGGCGACCGGAGCTGGCAGCAACGACACGCTGGTTGGGAGCCATGATGTGATCTGAAGGTGAAGATGGAGATTTTCTAGTGTAATAGCTTAGAATAGGGAATGGCGATCAAGAAGCAGACGTTAGAGGGTAATTGATGGCATGCGGAGGAAAACGCCGCTCCGAGAAATCTTTCAAGTGCTCAATCTTGGCATCACTAATTGCGCCTCTAGCTTGTCCTGGCACCCGTATCTCCTCCAAAGTAGCTTGCGCGACCAATTGTAAGAAAAGAGATTGCAAGAATACATACTCAAAAGAGACCCTAATAGTCATCTTCGGAGGCCGAAAGTAACTTTCTTCTTGCTATATTGCTGGTGCCTCCAGACTTGCTACCCCGTCCTTTGCAGGAAAGTCTTCTGTACCCTCCTGTGCGCCGCGCACGTCGCAGCCATGACGAGCATAGACGATCTCTTCAAGGTACAGATTCCTCAGCATATTATCATTAGATCGAAGCTAATTGCAATAAGAAACCTCTTTCGGCAGCGAGCGGAAAGCGCAAACTAGAGGTTGCACAAGATCCGAGTATGTTCCCATAGTCCCAGCGCCTACCTATCCTACACGTCCTTTGCTCATGCGCAATGTCAGATGAGCTTTACAAAGCAGCGAAGTTAGACGCGAATGGCGACGTCAAGTCGAAAGGAAAAGCGCCGATGGTGGAGGGAGATGTTGAGGACGACGGCGAGGCTGGTCCGGAACTACCACCTGATTTCGATGACGAGGATATCCCAGACGATGAAGAAGGGCGATTCTTCGGGGGAGGGATGGAGCGCAAAACAGCCCAGGCAATGCAATACATCGACCAGCAGGATGAAGGAGAGGCAGCGGTATGGAAGGATCTGAGACAGCAATGTCAATCTGGACTCAACTCTAACGTTGCTTTAGCCCGAGAAAATCGATTCTGCTTGGTTGCGACGGCTGGCCCTCACCTTTGAAAGAAAGATATCGAAAAACGCCGAGCTCCGCGGGAAGTTTGAGAATGATCCCCAGAAGTGAGTGGACTGGGCCTCATTGCTTGGTGAGACAGATAAATGCTCACAATCCTTCCAGGTTCATGACCTCGGAAGCCGATCTAGACACGGAGATTAAAGGACTCTCAATCTTATCCGAACATCCTGAATTATACGCGGAATTCGCCAAGTTAGGATGTGTGGGGTCTCTAACATCATTGCTGTCCCACGAGAACGCAGATATTGCCATTGACGCAATCCAGATCATCAGTGAGTTGACGGATGAAGATGTAGAGGCTGAACAGGAACAGTGGGATGCTCTCGTCAATGCATTGGTATGTGCCGCTCTCGCTTCACGGAACGATTGCTGACGGTATTAGTTGGATGCCGACCTCATTGAGCTCCTGACTCAAAATCTGTCACGGTTGGATGAAACATCTGAAGCCGATAGAGCGGGTGTATACTACGTGCTCAGTATGCTCCTCTGTTTACATTTGTTGAAGACATGACGCTAACGTTGGTAACCAGATGTGCTGGAAAACCTGGCTTCTCAAACCACAATTGCGGAAAAGATTGGTCAGGAATCCACTGTATTATCGTGGCTTCTCTCTCGCATACAACAGAAAGAAAATCCAGTCAGTCAAAATAAGCAGTACTCCGCAGAGGTTTTGGCCATTCTGCTACAATCGTCTCCTAAAAACAAAGAAAAATTCATTGGCCTCGATGGTGTCGATATTCTACTTCAACTACTGAGCCACTACCGCAAACGCGACCCTGAAAAGGACTCGGACGAGGAGGAGTACGTGGAGAATCTTTTCGACTGTTTGATATGTCTCGTCGACGAAGATTCTGGCAAGGAGAAATTTCTGGAAGGCGAAGGCATTGAGCTTGCTCAGATTATGCTGAAGGAAGGCAAATTCAGTAAGCAACGTGCCTTGCGAGTTCTTGACCATGCTCTGGGTGGTTTGGGGGGCGGCCCTGCGTGCGAGCGTCTAGTCGAGGTTGCAGGGCTGAGAACAATTTTTGGAATGTTCATGCGAAAGGTAGGCGTCTTGTTGAAATAGACCTTTGCCGGCTGTAACTGACCCCAATCAGCAAGAGAGCCAGACAATAGAACATCTGTTGGGTATCTTTGCTTCACTGTTACGCCTCTTACCGGGCGGTTCGGCTCCACGCATTCGTACCCTTGCCAAATTCATGGAAAAGGACTACGAAAAGATTGTGAAGCTCGTGAAGCTAAGACGGGACTACGCTTCGAGGGTGTCGCCGGTTGAACAAGCCATCGAGGAGGAACGGAAGAACTACACAGACGAAGAGCAAGAAGTCATGGCTGCAGAATGGCTCTCTAGACGCTTTGACGCTGGCCTTTTCTCTCTGCAGGTTTGTTTGATATCATTCACATTTCTAGAACTGATGGACTAACATTCATTTCACTTACAGTTAATCGATGTTTTACTAGCGTGGCTGGTGGCTGAGGATGATGGAGCAAAGCAGAAAATCATTTCACTATTGGCAGATAGGGATGAGGATCTGTCCATTATCAAGGCGACGTTGAGAGGTAAGCAGCATTCACTGGAAGGATCCCTTCTTTCGTACTGACTTCTTTTCGATCAGAGCAAATGGAGGGACTTGCAGATGATGAGCCTGGGCAAAAGGACCATAAAGAGATGCTTGGAACCCTGCTACAATTCTTATAGAACGCAGCGTATTAATGCATGTCATGAATAGTAAAGATGAAAGAGAGAGTCGAGCGATGATTATCGCCCTCTTCACATACCATGATCAACTCGTAGGCCAGTAAAAGTACGAATATCACGTGGTTTGATTGACTAATCTGTTCTAGTCAAGGGCTAGCGCCAAGTCGGGGTCGAGGCGCTAGTGGCGGCTCTCTGCTCAAGATCCATCAGCAGCCGGAGAATCGAAGCGTCCAGCTTTGCTTCATCCAACATCCTCTGCTGCAGGGGATCTCTCACTCTCCATTAATCAAACTGAGATTCCCGGCTTAGTGAACCGTCTTAAGTGTCGCTTTTTGAGCACACTTACGCTGGTGTCACTGCTCGTCGCAGCAGTTGATCAACACGGAAGAGGGATCTTTTCTTGTTTGAGCGCGTCGCTCCCTCCCTGCGCTCAACACATTTTTTCATCGATCGTCCGCCTCAAAACCGAATCCGATTTTCGTCAAAATGGCCGAATACGATGATGCGTACGAGGAGGAGTTCTACGATGAGATGGAGGAGGGGATCACGTCGGAGGACTGCTGGACGGTTATCTCCTCCTTCTTCGACACGAAGGGTTTGGTATCGCAGCAGCTGGACTCTTTCGATGAGTTCATCTCATCAACGATGCAGGAGCTGGTAGAGGAACAAGGCCAGGTCACACTCGACCAGACGCTTCCTCCTTCCGATGATGAAGACGATCCCGTCGTTCTCCGTCGATACGAGCTCAAGTTCGGAACAGTCATGCTCTCTCGCCCCTCGGTCACTGAAGGTGATGGTGCGACTACCATCATGTTGCCTCAGGAGGCTCGTCTGCGAAATCTCACCTACGCCAGTCCGCTCTACCTCGGCATCACAAAGCGTATCATGGAAGGTCGAGAACGGCTGATTGCGGATCGTGATGAGGACGACGTGGCGCCAGATGCGGACGAGGATAGAAAGGCCCGTGGGACATACTTGCAGTGGGAACAGAAAGAACTCCCCGCTGATCAGGCGAAGGAGGAGACGGTGTTCATCGGAAAGATGCCTATTATGCTCAAGTCCAAATACTGTATCCTCAAGGATCTGAGCGAGCAGGCGCTTTACAACTGGAACGAGTGCCCCTACGACTCTGGTGGTTACTTCATCATCAACGGAAGTGAGAAGGTTTTGATTGCTCAAGAGCGAAGCGCCGGAAACACAGTGCAAGTTTTCAAGAAGGCGCCACCGAGTCCTACACCCTACGTTGCTGAGATTCGAAGTGCGGTCGAGAAGGGTTCTCGACTACTTTCGCAATTGTCTCTTAAGCTTTTTGCTAAGGGAGACAGCGCGAAAGGCGGATTTGGCCCTACGATCAGATCGACTCTACCCTACGTTAAGACGGATATTCCCATTGTTGTCGTTTTCAGAGCACTGGGTGTGGTTTCGGACGAGGATATCCTCAACCATATTTGTTACGACAGAAATGACACCCCCATGCTCGAGATGCTGAAGCCTTGCATCGAGGAAGGTTTCGTCATCCAAGACCGCGAGGTCGCTTTGGATTTCATCGCCAAACGTGGATCTTCTCAGTCCAGCATGAACCACGAGCGTCGTGTCAGGTACGCACGAGAGATTATGCAGAAGGAGTTACTTCCCCATATTTCCCAGAGCGAGGGTAGCGAGACGCGAAAGGCCTTCTTCCTCGGTTACATGGTTCACAGACTCTTGCAGTGTGCTCTCGGTCGTCGCGATGTAGATGATCGTGATCACTTCGGAAAGAAGCGTCTTGACCTTGCTGGCCCTCTGCTTGCCAATCTCTTCCGAGTTTTGTTCACGAGAGTCACTCGGGATCTCCAGCGATATGTCCAGAGATGTGTGGAAACTAATCGTGAAATCTACTTGAACATCGGTATCAAGGCCAGTACCTTGACTGGAGGTCTGAAATATGCCCTCGCCACCGGTAACTGGGGAGAACAGAAAAAGGCAGCAAGTTCGAAGGCAGGTGTCTCGCAGGTGCTGTCTCGTTACACCTATGCCTCCACCTTGTCACATCTTCGGCGTACCAACACGCCAATTGGTCGTGACGGTAAAATCGCGAAGCCTCGTCAGCTTCACAACACCCATTGGGGCTTGGTCTGTCCTGCAGAAACTCCTGAAGGTCAAGCTTGTGGTCTGGTCAAGAACCTGGCTCTCATGTGTTATATCACTGTCGGCACACCCAGCGAGCCCATCATCGATTTTATGATCCAGCGCAACATGGAAGTGCTTGAGGAGTTTGAGCCTCAGGTGACGCCCAATGCAACGAAGGTGTTTGTGAACGGTGTTTGGGTCGGTGTCCACCGAGATCCCGCGCACTTGGTCAACACCATGCTCTCTCTGCGTCGGCGCAACATGATCTCTCACGAGGTCAGCTTGATTCGGGACATTCGTGAGCGTGAATTCAAGATCTTCACAGACGCTGGGCGTGTGTGTCGACCACTTTTCGTCGTTGACAATGACCCTAAGAGCGAGAACTGCGGCTCGCTGGTGCTCAACAAGGAGCATATCCGCAAGCTAGAGCAAGATAAAGAACTGCCCGCGGACCTTGATCCCGAAGATCGCAGGGAACGTTATTTCGGTTGGGATGGCTTGGTCAAGTCAGGAGTTGTCGAGTATGTCGATGCCGAGGAAGAAGAGACGATTATGATCGTCATGACCCCGGAAGACCTCGAAATCTCCAAGCAGCTTCAGGCGGGTTACGCTCTTCCGGAAGAAGACGATCCCAACAAGCGTGTTCGTTCGATCCTCAGTCAAAAGGCACACACTTGGACGCATTGCGAGATTCACCCCAGTATGATTCTTGGTGTCTGTGCCAGTATCATTCCCTTCCCTGACCACAACCAGTCGCCTCGTAATACCTACCAGTCTGCGATGGGTAAACAAGCCATGGGTGTGTTTTTGACCAACTTTGACCAACGAATGGAGACAATGGCAAATATTCTCTATTACCCGCAGAAACCGTTAGCCACAACGCGGTCCATGGAATTCCTTCGATTCCGTGAGCTACCAGCTGGGCAGAATGCCATCGTCGCCATTGCTTGCTACTCCGGATACAACCAAGAAGATTCGGTCATCATGAACCAGAGCAGCATCGATCGTGGTCTCTTCCGCAGTCTCTTCTACCGCACATACACGGATACCGAGAAAATGGTTGGTCTGACTGTTGTCGAGCGGTTTGAGAAGCCCATGCGCTCGGATACGATCGGTATGAGAAAGGGCACCTACGATAAGCTCGATGAGGACGGTATCATTGCCCCTGGTGTGCGTGTCTCCGGAGAGGATATCATCATCGGCAAGACGGCCCCGTTGGCACCCGAGGCGGAGGAACTCGGCCAGCGAACCAAGGCACATACCAAGCTGGACGTGTCGACGCCATTAAGAAGCACTGAAAATGGCATTGTGGATCAGGTCCTGGTCTCTACCAGCAATGATGACCTCAAGTTCGTCAAGGTGCGCATGAGGACGACAAAGGTTCCTCAGATCGGAGACAAGTTTGCCTCTCGTCACGGACAGAAGGGTACCATTGGTATCACCTACCGGCAGGAAGATATGCCGTTTACGCGCGAGGGTGTTTCTCCCGACCTTATCATCAACCCGCATGCTATTCCGTCTCGTATGACAATTGCTCACTTGATCGAGTGTCAGCTCAGTAAAGTGTCGGCATTACGTGGGTTCGAAGGTGATGCTACACCTTTCACTGATGTTACTGTCGACTCAATCTCTCGGCTGCTTCGGGAGCACGGTTACCAGTCTCGTGGCTTCGAGGTGATGTACAATGGGCATACTGGACGCAAGCTGGTTGCGCAAGTGTTCCTGGGACCAACGTACTATCAGCGTCTGCGCCACATGGTCGACGACAAGATCCACGCCCGTGCCCGTGGACCGACTCAGATTCTGACCCGGCAGCCTGTGGAAGGTAGAGCCCGTGACGGTGGTCTGCGTTTCGGAGAGATGGAACGTGATTGTATGATTGCGCACGGTGCCAGCGCCTTCCTGAAGGAGCGTCTGTTTGATGTCTCCGACCCGTTCCGTGTCCACATCTGCGATGACTGTGGACTCATGACCCCGATTGCGTAAGTTTTCTCTAACCCTTTACAGATAGTCTGTCTGCATAACAATAAGCACTAGCTAACCGATAATTTCGCGTGGCAGGAAACTGAAGAAGGGACTCTTCGAGTGTCGACTGTGCAACAACAAGCACAGGATCTCGCAGGTGCATATCCCGTATGCGGCCAAGCTTCTGTTCCAAGAATTGGCCGCGATGAATATCGCCGCTCGCATGTTTACCAACCGTTCTGGCGTGTCCGTGCGGTAAGGAAGATAAGGGCACAAGTCGAGTGGACAGAGACAAGAGGGTTCTGTACAATCTTCGTTCTTTTCTTTCTTACGACATGACCAAAACTATATTCGCTCTCGTCCCAGTCGCCCTTCTAATTATCTACGTGTTTTCATATTCAATCCCCCTCCCCTTTTTTTGTGATCTCGACGGAGAGAGAACAGATTGATTTTCTATTTTTTCCTTTTGGCATTTCTCTGGCGTACAAAGGATGCAAGATGGACTGTCACTTATCTCGACTTGATACTACTGTGATTTACATGCGACCGCTCTGAAAGATGGGCCTGAAGGGGAAGTGAGTGCCTTGGTTCTTTTTCTCTTTATGTACTCAGCGAAAAACTAGAATCGCTTGGACAATGTTGAACTGCTTTTATCACTCAGGAGTAGCCTGGTAGTCATACACAGCTGTTATTATGGACGCCGATGAGGGTGAGGATATATTTTGACTTCCCCTCTTTCCATGCATGATGAATTGTCATGAACCTTAAAGGCTGCTATTGATCTGTATGTCTATACTGCAGGGAACGAAGTAGCTGATAGCGTGCATGAAAGCAGCCCGTGTGGTTGCTGATGGGAGGCCTGCCAGAAGCCTCCATTGGTGATGGCCTCATCACAGTGGATAACAGGCGCCAAATCCAGGGTGGTGGTTGGTGCTCTGCTCTGCTATGTGGTTGGCTACTGGAAGAGTTTTGAGCCCCTCCTCGTTGTATGGAAGCCAATCACCTTTACTGTTTACCCGCCAGCAAGAAGGAGTCTCCACTCTGACCGCTGAAGATGGGCAAATGAGTATGTTGATTGGCTGCGGCAGGAGATATCATCGCCACCTCCAGTCATTGTTCTTAGAATAGCCTGCAGATTGATGCCATCCAACTCCCTCGTCTTACTGAACACCAACAGTAACCGGGAATCTACTGGATGTCTGGAAACTGAGAGTGCCTTAAAGGTGCCGCAGCCGCTGTCTGCTTGACGAGCCTTCTCTTCTCCTCTTTCTTTCTTTCTTTCTTCTCCAGCAAGCTTTTGTTGGTTTGAGCTGCCTTTAATTTGGAAGTATCCTGTGCACTGGTTGCACTGGTTTTTGTTATTGTTGTTATTACTGCATCTTCTATACTACTAATTACTTACCCCCCACTATATCAAAAAATCCTCAAATCTTCCCTTCCCCCATTTTGTTCTGTCAGACGAGCTGTGCTCTCTGATGATCTTGTTTATTTGCCCTTGCTCAGGATACTTTCTAGATTATACAATCTTCTCCACACGGTTCTCAATCCTCGTCGCCGGCCGACGTTGTTGATTATTAGCCGTTTCCAGCTCAGCCTACTTGCTCGGATTCTGTCAAAGAACTGATTTCTTCTCTTTGTCAAGGTCTTTTTACTCCTTTAATCTTTTCTGATTCTAATTCTGCCGTGGACTGGTTCCCGTCAGCCTTGAAAGAGAACGAAGCGCACTCGTTGTGAGCGTTGCACTGCCTGCCCATCGACAAGCAAGCAACCAACCAACCAACCAACCGACAGACTTCGATCGAATAGACTCTGGCAGTCTTTTACTCGAGGCTCTGATTTAACGATTTATATCGACTTGCTCTTTCAACTTCCCATATAATATAATCTTTAGTTCTACGTCTATCATCTACCGCCACAATGACCGCTGTTCAACTGAAGTTCTCTCTCCGGACTTCCTCCAACGTCAAGACCGTCCATCTGCTCGGCTCCTGGGATAACTACTCTCGTCAAATTCCTCTTTCCCGGGATGATTCCAAGCCAGGCTCATGGGTTGGCAAGTTCCGCTTCCAGACGTCGATGCTGAAGCTAGGTGGTCGGTACTGGTACTACGTAAGTATTCGCCGCTGCCGGATTGATAAGGGAAGTTGACTAAACCATGGATGGTCTAGTATATCATGGATGGATACCATGTCTCTCACGATCCCGCCGTCGAATACACCGTTGAGCCCACCACTGGCCGTAAACTCAACATCCTCGATGTCCCCGGCGGCAAGAGCTCCAACCCTGCTCCCAAGACACGCCGAGGTTCCAACGACGTCGTCAAGGGCCGAGCTCTGTCTCCATCCAAGATCCACCACCCCAAGCCTTCCAAGCCCTACGCCTCTCGACAGATCCGGGAGACCGACTTTGCTCCCACCATGGAGGACCTGACCAGGCGCTTTGCCGGCTCCCGCATGTCTGACGAGTACTCGTACTCCAACAGCCCCCCCAGCTCCGTCGGCTCTTCCCTGTCATCTCGGTCTTCGGGCACCACCTCGCCGTCGTCCTTGTCTTCTATGAGTGACCCACCCACCCCGATCTGCCGCTGTGAACGGTACGGCATCACTCGCAAGGGTGACCGCGTCAAGCTCGACTGCGGTGGCAGCCGCTGTGGCTATGTCACCGAGTCTTCAGAGGCCAGCTGCTCCGAGTCTGACAGCGATGAGGAATACCGCCGGGCTCGTACTGCAGTGCGCCGTCAAGGCATCGTTGTGCGCAGATAAATACGTTGGTTCTTCTCAGTTCCCCGTATCTCCCTCTTGTCCTCTCAGGAGGACCTTCCATCACAGAGACGGGAGATCGACTATTTCCCTGCGCCTCGGTCAATGCAACGATACCAACTTATCGTTGGTCTCGGCATGTTTCGAGCAATTCGATTTGTTTAAGCAAAACTATAGTCACTCCTTTGGCATGAATTATGTGATGAATCTTTTTCAGCAGAGAAGAATGAATGAAAAAAGAAAAGAAAAAAAAAAAAAGAGTTCCAAAAAAGGAGACGGTCAACCGGACCAGGACCTCACCGTTGACGGCACGAGGGCAACCGGACTCGCTCCGTCCTTGTGACCTCACCGTGAGAAGGAAAAGGATATATGCGCGATTGACAATTGTCCGCTCTATGTCTCTTTCGTCTTGTACGGATGAGATATGGCCAGGCGGAACGAACGTTGATGACTTGTGATCTGGACGGCTGTTCTCTGGTGACATGCAGCTTGCTACTACATACCATACCCTAGAGCCCAATATATAACGCTGTCCAGATAGAATGAGATTACGACGAAATGATATATTGATGGAAATATATACTTGACTCTTTACACTCATATTGTAGATATAAGCAGTCAGGTTCCGGGGTATAGAATCGAACTCGGATGCCTTCTGTCCCCGTATCGGATATCCCGAGTCATCCATCCCTTAAAGTCAGCACTAGACCTCGAGGCAGGTGTCCCTCACAGTCTCGCACAACCATAATCCGTCCTGAAGAAACCAGCCCGGCCAGCTACAGTAGAATTAGGATCCAGCAGAATGACAGTATCCCTCGATCCCCCAGAAACAGTCACATACAAATAAGCCAACGGCAACCAAATCACCACAGGCATCTACCTCCCCCATCGACCTCCTCAAATTACAATGGAGAGAAACACCGTCCCGTCCGTAAGTTCCCCACCCTAAGCACCACCCCTGACAAACTCACACGGCAGTATCAACATCCACCGGAAGAAGGTGGGGTGTGGGATGGCGGATGTGCCTGGGAGGATCGTAAGTTTGCGACGGGGATGCAGGTTTGTTCGAGGACTTGGGAGCTGCAGAGGGAGGGGTTTGTTTTTGGAGAAGGGAATGCGAAGGCTCGTAGGTAGGACGAGTGTTTGATGGCTATCTATCTATACTGGGCTGGCCAGATAATTTTACATGAAATGAAATGAAAACCCCGAAATGAGAACGCTGTCAACAAACCGGAATGTAATACAAAAATGAACGTGTGACGTGTAATGATAGAAAGCAGCGCTCATGAAATGCTGAACTCCATCCCATGCAAGCTTTGTATAACCTTTTCTCCGCCAAAGCATGTCTATATCAATCCAAATCCAAGTATACAGAGCTCGAAGGTGTTCATATCCCATGCCGCATCGTGTCACCCGTAACATCGGTCAAAGCTCGCCCTTGATCCAAGCAGACTGAGAACAAAAGAGAGAGTCGAGTGGTCATCTGAGAGAAAAAACGAAATGGTCCAGGTCCAGCCGGGACGGATGCATCGAACAAAGAGGCCAAATATTGTTGTTGTGTCGTGGGTTCAAGAAATGATTGCCAGCCTTCAAGGCTGACCATGTCGGACAGTGATGGCAGCTCCAGGCTGTCAAGTGAAACAGTCGCTGAGAAGGCAAATAATCGCAGACAGTGCACCGAGATCGGCTCTCAGAGCACAGAAAGAGAAGTTATTGAAGCTAGCACTGCGTTCAACGCAGCCTACTCCGGTATCCTTCGACGAAATCAATATCCCTTGGGGTACCCCGTCGCAGAACGATTGCCGCCAGTAGATCCATTCCGTCTCGCAGAATGTTTCTCGCAGGCGTATCCGACCAACACTGTCTTCACTTGCACAGTGTGGCCCCGTTGAGCGTATGCTTGACACGGGTCGACCGCGTGTTCAAAGTAAAGACACCCACACACTGAATAACGTTCCACGAGCTGATAACACATTTCGATAGGTTGCGATAGAATATCCGGTATATCTGTGGGGTGGATGACGACGTCCAGCGTAGACAGGTGCCAATAGAGAAAGTGCTGTTGAACGAATGCTCAAGAGAAGAAGCAAGAGAGAAGACAAGAAAAGACTCAGTGTATTAAAGTTTGCCGATGCCATCCAAGGACACACAAATGTTGGCTCCGTTGGAATAGATTATTTATATGAAATTGAAGAACTCAGGCGACCTCAGGAATGTCATGACAATGGTCAAAAATAGGACGAAACGAAATGGGAAGCCGGGTTTCATCAAGGCTGCATAGCCTATTCAATCTGCAATTGAAGCAAGTGCGGACCGAATTTGATGCAAGGCATCCATTTAGGTCTTGGCCGGGACTTTTTGCAGTTGTATCGAATATCGTTCAAGTCCGAGAAGACAAGTCGTGAACTGCAAAGAATAGAAGGTGGAAATAGGTCACTGGGCACAATCGACACCAGACCATATCCGACTTTCCGCAGGTCATTCCCGCGGACAAGACCGAGGGCCATAGTTGATCAGTGGGGTTCCATTGTGCTGAAGGTTGGCAATTTGCTAGCCCTGCTAAACAGCCGAACTGGTTGGCTATGTTGCAGAACGTTGTACCGACGGCGATGACAGCTGATGCCGAGTTCCAAGTTTGGATATCCACCGTGACGGAGCCGTTGAAGACTAGGAGGCTCTAAAAACCCTCAAGGTTGATACAAGCGGAGCTGGGCACTCCTTAGCGGAACATCATTGGTCTGTCTCCAAGCACGATCTCGTGCTTGCAGGGGTTTTCAGCTCATGGTGCCATGGATTTTGGAGGCCTTAAGGCCTTATTGGACCTTTGCCTGAGATAGGTCGAAGTTATTTCTACTTGCAATGATCGGGTAGCCAGTAAACATCGTCAACCATTCTATTTCTTGTGCTGCTAGAGACTCATCGAGTTAGTCGCTCCGTTAGCCACCGCACTCTCGAAAAAAGGACTTCTTCTTTCCCGGTTGACAAATTTGCTCGACGTGGTGCAAGAAGATGACAGTGTGATAAAAAGGACCCCGCAGGTTCAGCTTGCAGTTGAGCCTCGATATTAGCAGAACTATCGGTGAGCATAGCCATGCAGGATGATGCATGGGCTTGAAGAATTGGTACGAGTCGGACAAATCAAGTGCTTCTCCCTCAGCCCTGTCCATTGAGTCACAGACCACTGCCCGCCAGATGCGACTAGCCTCAGGGATGTCCGACCTGGTCTTGACCCTTGCAGCATTCTCCAAAGACAAGAATAACCCGCAAGGCTGACCCGAGGAAACGGCGGGGATTCATTATCCTGTCTGAAGGGCTGAACCGTTGAAAACCCCACATGATCTGACCTGACTCATCCTCTCGCACATGACATCATCCAATCAGTGGAGTTGCGAATCTGCCATCCAAGACTCGGGTCAGCGTTTCAGTGACTGAATTAGTGATTTGGTAAACTAGAAGTTGGTAGAATCATCGTTGCATAATCGTATCTTCAGCTGGCGTCGTTTCAGTGCTGCTCTTCGGGCTTATTGTACCCCGATCTAGACCGCTGTTCATTGATTCTGACGTTGATACCGACGCGATGTATTGCTTGGCCTGTATCTTATAAGAGGGGTACATAGCGCTCGTTTGGAGGGTTCGAAATCGAAGAGATCATCACGATCATCATTGACTATGGGTAAGCTCGGCGTTAACAGAACATCGCATGCTAAGGAGTTCAAGAGGCACCTTGGAGCGCTTTGTCGGTGAACATTAACAGTTTGTTCCGAGGTCAGTCTGAATTTCGATTGTCAATGGTAATCACGGACGATCCTTCGACGAAATGACGATGAAATGAGTGCGGCAATGATGGGTAGTGGAAGAAGTTAAGATGAACTGGAAAGTTGTTGTGGCCAAGTTATTGCTATTGATGCCTGGGGAATTCAAATGCTTTCCGTCCTGACCATCCGGGGACTGTCATTGCTACTATCCTTTTCTCACCATCCATGAAAGATCGATCGTATGGACTTAGGCCCAAGTAGATGAAAAGCTATGGATCCCACAAATACACCTACACGTACATGCTAGACAAGAACAATGCACAAGCCGCCTCTATCAAACAGACCCCAGAGCACCGAAGCTCAAGCCTCGGGCTAATCCCAACCGTAACATCCTGAGAACTTCCTCTCCCTTGATATCCTCCGGTAAAGCAGCTCGCCAGTCCCATCCGCGCTCGTGGGATCCTGTTTGAGCTCCATCTCCGGGACGAGGAACTAACACACCTGAGCCGGTCACAGATCCCGAGCCAGACATGGTTCGGTTCCGAGCACTCTCGATCATATCACTGCCAATTAAGGAAAATGTGCTGGATGCGGTGAGCGAAGATACAGATTTTTTCAAAAGTGCCCGTGGTGACGGCGGCAGAACATAGGATTCAGCGGAGGATCGACCGCCGGACGATGCACGCTCAGAGGAGTGATACTCGATGAGCGCAGAGCGGAAACATTCTTCGCACTGGGAGTAGACCCGGGGTGTGACCGTTTCCAGATCCTCAATTGCGGAGAGAATAGTAAATTGTTGAGACATCGAAAGCACCGGAGTGTTTTCTATCACGGAGTCAGCCTCTGGAGGTCATGCGTCAAAAACAGCTATCACTTACGATCAATTAACGGCAAGGCCTCTCCCAAGAGTGTCAGAAGCCCGTCCACTTGCACCGCAGAGTCACGACCAGGATCATAGAGTCCACCGTAGATACTATCTGCGGCGCTACTGATTACTGCAACCAAAGCCTGGGCTGCTGCCCTACGTCTGGCTAAGGGTTTGAATCGAGGTCGCTGTCCCTCCCTGAGCCCGATCGCTTCATCTCGTATCTCATAAAACCGACGTAGAGTGGCATATCCGCTGAAATAAAATTGGAGGATGCTTGCAGCGTCCTCGTCGGAACCCGCAATCGCTGAAAGGCAGGTCTTTGGGTCTCTGATCAATGCCTCCAGCTGCTCATCGAGATCTGCAGATGCGGGATATGCGCGAGATTGAACCAGGCTGTACGAGATGAGTAGGTCGACAACCGACTTCACCTTCCGACGGCTGTGTGCGCGAGCGTAACACACCAATGCCAGACCGTACTCATCAGATTTTTCCACCGTTTGATCACCAAATCGCTGCCAGACGGTCAGTTTCGAGATCAAGAAGCACAACAAGGGTGGGACTTAGACATGGGCGTACCTCAGACACTCTCCTTCCTTCCTTATCCAGACCAAGCTCGGAGCAAAGTAATACCACTTTGTCCAACTGCTCAACATTGTCAAGAGGGATCTTGTCAAGTAATTCCGAAACACTCTTCTGCAATTTCTCCGCGTCATCTAGACGGCTCACAACTTCCAGAGCAAGCTCCCAGCCATCACGAACGCCGGACGTGTGCTCAATCGTACGTCGTTTGAACAAGCCGAGAGCGTAGGTGCTTAGAACGTCATCCTTGCGAACTCGCTTGTTCGGTTCATTCCCGTTCTGACCGTACGAGAGGACCATCAGGTCATTCTCACTGAGACCCGGCAGCGGCTTCGCTCCTCTCTCTGTATCGAGCCAGCCACCAATCGAGGCGACCTCAGCCACAGCAGAGGCAATGCACAATGACCATGTTTGAATCAGCTCAAGCACACCGTCAACGTTGCCCTCGAAAACGGAAGCCAGACCGACCTCAAGACTACTCAATGGATTGACCCTGAAACTGGAATCTGACATTTCCTCATTGATAGCGCTACGGAAGGCAAGATCCAGGCGCTGCAAATAGGCATTCACAGGATCTTCGTTGGCATCGCGGAAGGCCTGGGATCTGAACATGCCTCTGCGGGGAACATCGCCCTTCCCTTGCGCTGTCTCATCATCCTCGCCGTCCCACCAGGCCGTAAGCGCAATTGTGGCCTCGATCCAGTCTTGCGCGAGGTTCAGAATGGCGTTGGCATCACCGAGTATGATACGGTACAGACATCTCAAACTTTGATAGATCGTCCAAGGCACACGGCTTTCTGCCATGCGCGCAGATTTGGTGAAAGAGAAGTCGACTTTTGCTGGACTAGGCTTCAGCCCAAAGTTGATTGCCTGAAAGCGATTGTCCGTGACCGGGGGCTCGACCGATTGCTGCTCTCCTCCCTCCGCAAACTCCTCCAGATCTGTTACGGCCGTTGTGACACGTTTCCTGTACAACGCCCACTCAGCGCCTTTGACATCCCAGTCATCGTACTGGATACTGGGAGATGACTCTAAAATTTGAAGAGCCTTATTGATACATCTTTGGATATTTTGCAGCTGTGCCCCACGATAGCCTGATTGCGGTAAGCCATCCTCCAAAGCTGACCTGGCATAATTGAAGTCCGCCGATCGCAGGATATCTGCCGCCTCCGAGAAGCGCCCACGTAGCACCGCTGCATTGACGATCTCCCAGAAATTGGAAGATGCGGTGGGATTAGGCTCAACTTCCTTCAAAGCTCGCAGGTCCTCGTGCTGAGAAGAATGATAGGCTTCAAGCCAGTCCAAAAGAACCTTGGGTATTGGCGTAGGCGTATCCGATTTTGAGGCCGCGACGACTAGACTCCGGGGAGCCGCAAATCCTAGATTATTGCTGAGACTCCCTTGCTGGGGGGTCGACAGAGGCGGGTGATGGAGTTGAAGCAGTAAAGAGCCGAGAAAGCTGGCCTTGGCAACATCAGGAGCACGATCCCCAGGTCCAATGTCCGTCCCTGCGCCAGGTGCACTGGGGACACGGCTTCCCTCCATGGATGGCTTCCATGAGTTTGTAAGTCTGCTGCACACCTCGGAGAGAATAATTTGAATGTCTCTATTCGTAAACTCAGATTGTCTTACTTCATCGTACATTCGACACATTTCGTCCTCGGTGCTGATGATCACGTCACTTGGCTCGTTGACCGCCGCGGGCCCGGCTCGAGAGGCGAAATTCCCTACGATCGAGGGCATTGCGGAGTCCTTCTTTGGAGACAGTTTACCCTTGCGCAACGGTGATTGTTGAGCCCATTTTTCGTCGAGCTTCGGCCGTTTTGCATTGCCCGGGTTTGAGTATATTGACTTTCGTTGACCATGCGACGTAGGCTGTGCTTGTGTGGAATTGCCAAACTGCGAGTCTAAGAAGCTCAATCGGTGTGCGGCGTTGCCCATGTCCATTTCATCCTCCCCCTGGACATCCTCTTCCTCCTCGGGTATCATTTGTTCGTCATCGGCGTTGGTTTCTGCATCCATTTGCGAAGTAAAACCATTAGACATTCCGAAACCGGTCGACTCGCCGAATCGAGTATTGTTCGTCATGCTGAAAAGAGACTGCGACTGCGCGAAGGGTTTCCCTGACCCAGCATTTTTGGCTCGGGGCGCTGGCTGATGGAAGGATCCCACTGAGGAATTGAAGATGCTGTCATTGAAATCGACCCCTCCGGATTTGGTGAAAAGGGACTGGGGAGAATCCAGCTGCGATCTTGAGCTCATCTGAGAGCTTCCGAATATGGTAGATGGAGGAGGGCCTCGAGGAGTGAAGGACTTGGCTGCGGAAGGCGGTGCATCTCCAGGAGTCGCCGAGATGTCGCTGAAAAAGCTCCGAGACTTGTCTGGTGTCGACGGACTCGATCCATAAGGTACCTGGAAGCTCATATTGGCGGTTGAGGGGGGGTTAACTGGTAGAGAGAGTGAGGAGTAATGGCACTTTTTAGCAGCGGCACCAGTACCAGCGACACTGAGCACCGGGGAATGAAATCTATCTTTTTGAGATTCCTGTTGCTATCCCAGCTCGTAACAGGCAATTCCTGCGGAAAAAGGCCGGAGAATAGATGCGCAGTAGCTGCCAGTCAGGTGGAAGACTGAGAAGCGAGCTAAGGAGGTCAAAAATCAGCAGCGATCATCACGCTGCCGTCAACACTTCGCCCTGTTTCTCCTGCTTCACCATTATTGCTCTCCATTGACTGACGCGCGCTGGGTCTTGGCGTCCAGTTGCTATGTCATGTGACATCATGTGACTGTTGTAATCACGTGTAATGTTTGACTAGGCATGATATTGTGATTGGCTGTTCTGGGTGACAGATTGGTCTAGCCGCTTTGGGCTGCTCGTATTCGCTGCGTTCTGTGATTGGATGACGCATAGCAGCGCCTCTTAAGGCATTTCCATATGTTAGGTAGACTGGTACAGAGACTTAGCCCCGTAATAAGCCATGGAAACCGCCCGTATTGCTGGCAACGGAGCAGCCGATGTCGATCATTCGGGCAATCAACTAGGCATTGCCTCCCTTCGATTAACCGGAAACGGAAACTATCCTTCATGTTTAGGCCAAGCCTTGCTATGGAGTGAACAATGGCTCAACGCAAGAACGCTTCGTATTCGCTAACCGGCCAGCAGACTATAAAGATTCCTGGTCTTCCTGGATAATTCAGATATTTTTCCTAGGATCATACCGTCCGCAAAAATGAGTCGCTCGAAGGAAACCTATGGCACCGACGATGCCACCCTCGCGGATTCGTGCAGTGCTTATCAGACCACAATGACTGAGAGCAAGTCTCTTGGTTCAGTTCCTTCGAACAGAGACGGCTCCTGCCGCCTTTATCATATATATCACACACTCTTCCGCTACGATTATAACGTCCACAATGCCAACAAGGAACAGCTATATCACGTCCGCAATTCCACGTGGACACCAAAGAAACCCGATCTCAGCGTTCATGCAGGCAATAGTGCAGAAGCACCGGTGCTCGCAGTCTGCAAATTCCTGCATTTCTCGAGGCATTTCAAAGTCGGATTGGGAAATCCTGAAACACCGAATTCAGTCGACTGGGAAGATCTCGTGTCTCTCAGCCACCTTCATGCAAGATATCGGTTTCAAATGTCTCTCCACTCCGAGTATGGGGTAGAACGGCGAGCATTCATTTGGAAGAGCACGCATTCGGTAGGAGTTGGGGATACAAAGCCTTCGATGTTTTCCTGGCGCAACTACAAGCTTGTTGATGAGGCGACTGATCAGCTTGTTGCCGTGTTTACGAGCAGCCTTTGGGGCTGTAAGAAATCTGGGAAGCTTGAGATCTATGAAAATTATGGGCAGGAATTCGAGCTGATGGTCATCATCACTGCTCTTGCTCTGTGTGAGAAACAACGGCGACGAGACAGTAGATCCTCAGGAGGAGGAGGCGGCGGCGGCGGTGGCGGCGGCTGAGAAAAGGACTCAGCTATTCTGAGATTGTTCTGTTTCTTTTTAGATTCGTTGCTTCGGTGTCTTTCTTCCCTTCTTGTCGCGTTGAGCACAGATACCATATACGCTGCATTCCTGATGGATTTTCATTTTGTTATAGATTCAGTTGCGAGTACCGAATAATGGAAATTGTTTCTTGGACTTCAACAAACTAAGAAAGAGAAAAGTAAATGCTGCACGGAGTAGTAAAACGCTGTTGATTGAAGAAGCGATAAGGTTGGATGACATAATCAGCTGGTGACATATTTTGTGTTGCCTAATGTGGGACGTTCTTTTGAGTACAAACTGCCAACGCTATGCACAGAGTGCCCTCCAAGAGATGGCTCTTCGAAGACCTCATCGTAAATCAAGACATGGCTGTGTAGAGTGCAAACGACGCAGGGTCAAAGTACGGAGACTCACACCACCTAGCTGAGCTGCAAAATATCACTAACGACTCTCAGTGCGATGAAGCTCGCCCAGCGTGCTCCAACTGCGTCAAACGCAGGGCGCAATGCGAGTACGACTCCAGCGGCTCATTTTTATGGGCAAATGGGAGGTCGCAGTCCCGCTCGAGGTCGAACAAATCTGCCTCCGAGGGGCCTTCGGAGCAACAGTCGCTCCACGACACCGCCGTTTCCTTTGGCATTCTCGGCAAGCTGGGTGGACACGGCGCGGCAACTCAGTATTCACTTACGGGGCTGAACCTGTGTGATTTGGAATTGATGATGCAGTGGTGCAATGAGACCTATAGGTCTTTTTCCCGCAACGAGCAAACGGACCGTATTTGGCGCGCCTGTGTCCCTGAACAGGCACTGTCATACCCGTTCCTCATGCATGGGATACTAGCTACTTCTGCACTTCATATTGCGCGGATCAGGGCTGACCATCGCCGTGCCGAGTACGTCAGCATTGCTGTCGCGCATCAGGACCAAGCATTGGCCTTATTTCGTGAACGGCTACATGATATTAACCCCTCCAATGCGAAAGCCATGTTTGCGTTTGCGAGCATTGTGGCCGTCTATGCATTTGCCTATCCTCATCCGCCAGATGCGAAAGACCCATGGGACTACATCGACGATCTCCTTCAGCTACTTATCCTGTCGCGGGGCGTGCACCAGGTGCTGAGTACCGCGTCTTCTTCGATAAAGGACAGCGATTTTGGACCAATTGTACAGTTTGACGAATACGAAGTCAACCTCCCCGCTGATATACTCTTTGCCTTAGGAAAGCTCCAAGATGCAAATAAGTCGATTGGAGAGACAGATTCCACGCACGATACGTCTGTTTATGAGGACACAATTGACAAATGGGCAGATATGACAGGCGCGGTGTACAGCGGCCTAACTTCCATTGCTGTCGCCTGCAGGTGGGCAATCAGGCTGCAACCGAGATACGTGGATTGCCTGCGGGAGCGCAAGCCCCTAGCTCTGGTCATTCTGGCATACTACTGCGCAATCCTACATCGCCTTCGACACAATTGGTGCCTCGACGAGTGGGGTCCTCGGGTTTCAAAGGCGCTCTGGCTTGTTCTAGATGAGCGTTGGCGCCCGTTGATATATTGGCCTATGAGAGATATCTTTGGCCAGGCCTTCGAGCCGAATTTAACCTGAGGCATCAATGTTGAAAGCATGATTCTATCTACGTCCGGTATTTGCAGTCCCGCCCACAAACGAATGAGTGCATGTGGAGACGATAAAAACAAGAAGTCAATGAACGATAGCTCTAGCGGAATGACAAGTTGGAAGGAAAACGACACGGCGGTATAACCTCGACAAACAGACAATTCATGAAGCATCATCGCGGCAAGGCTAGAGAGCTACTCAATTTGCTAAACAGGAAGAGCAGCCTCACAGACCTGGAAACCCCCTTTGGCTGTCATTAATTTCCCGCGACCCAACAGACAGTTGATCTCGCTCGGGTGGACAACCAGAAAGATAGCCATGACGAACCACATCAGAAGTCCATCCAGTACATATATGAACACTTCGCTCTGCAGCAATGAACCATCCCAGCCTTGAAGGTATTCGGCAACGCGAAATACGGATCGAACCAAGATCAGAATACTTGATGCATATAGCGCTCCCATATGTTTCTTCCATGGAATGTACTCGGCAACGGACTCGGGAGTTGAATGGGCAGCGATCCGACGCTGGAAGACGAAAGCGCTTATCACAAAGAAACCGAAAAAGATGATCTGGACAAAGAGACCGCCAACGATAACATTTTCGCCCGTGCTTTGGTTGTCCGTGACCAGGATCCCCGCACCTGCCATGCAAATGGATTATCAGTGTTTAGCTTTCATCTAGGACATAATGGCCGAAAACCCTACCTGATGCTTGCATCAAGAAGCTGAGAACGTCTCCCGCAACAAATATCTTGGTCATCCAGGTCACCCGAATGATTGCAAACTTCTCCCCTTTGACGAGAAGGATGATTCGGCCCAACTCCATGTATATACTGGCAGCAAACAGCGCAGGCGCTACCAGCAACAATGTGCTCTGCATGATGTACGGGCCAAGGGTCCAGTTTGGCGATTGGGATGCTGACAGGCAGCGTCCAATGTATCCTATCAATTCAACTTGATGAAGTCAGATATTCAGTCCGATGCAATCATCCCTCGGAAGCAGATCAGAACTTACAGTAGCCTCCTATGACCAAAGGAATAAAGAACCATGTTCTTGTTCGAAAGAGATGGAAGGTGTGTAGCAGGGTAACAATGCCGAAGAGGATGACGAATATCACTCCTGCCACCATGGAGGGATAGTACTCATAGGCTACCCAGCCTTCATACCCTCGCTTTAACAACATGGCGGTGATTTATATGTAACAATGACAAACAGAGCAAGAGATATTCCAGAATGTGTTTGGAGAAGTTTAAGCAAAAGGATAGTTCAATGCTCTCAGAAGGAACCCCAGCTAAGAAAATATCTACATCTTATATATCTCTGCTAGTCGCCTCCTCAATAAACTTCAAATTCATCGAGTTTGGCTCATCCCAGACAACGTCGAAAACCCACTACGGAGCGACTGGATTGTTCGTATATCTCGTACTAATTCCCCTTTTCGGTAAAAGTGATGATCTTTTCTCGATTGCCAAGATATCCACCGTTCCAGCCACTCTTTTACCGCAGACTTTCGTATTTCTTACTCTACAAGGATAAGCACCTTTGATTCTGTAATGTAATTGTTCTTCGAACCATGTATCAACCATGAACAAGTGGATATGAATGGTTTTTTTATAGACACGATAAATTGTACCAAATCTCGATCTATTACAACTTCGACTGCGCCCCCATCTCATTGGACAGCACATATCGGTACCTCGCTTTATTAGCATCCATATCAGCCAGAGCGGCGTTGATATCGTGCATCGGCCGCTCCTGGATCCACGGCAACACCTTCTTCTCCGCAGCCAGCTGCAGCATCTCCCGAATATCATCCGGAGACCCAATATTCGACCCCGTCACTTTCACCCCCTTCTGTATCAACGACCATGCCGTTAACGGCGGCAGCGGCGATTCCGGCGCTCCAACCTGAACAAACGTCCCATCCACCTTGAGAAGCCGCAGATACTGCGCAAGAGGCATATCCGGCGCGTCAACCGTGCAGATTATCAAATCGAGCGTGCGCGCATGCGCCCTCGCCCATTTCTTCTCCTCGTCCGTCGCGATGAACGCATCTGCCCCGAGCCCCTCCAGCGCATCCCGCCGCTTGCTCGACGACCTTGAGATCGCAACGACGCGATCGCAGCCCATCGCCTTCGCAAACAGAATCCCCATATGCCCCAGCCCGCCAATCCCGATAATCCCAACCGCCTTCCCCGGCCCGGCAGCATACCTCCGCAACGGCGCGTAAACAGTCACGCCGCCGCAGAGCAGCGGCGCTGCGGCAGCGGAGGGCAGCGCATCGGGGATCTTGAACGCAAAGTGTGCAGGCCCGCGCCAGAACTCCGCGAACCCGCCGTAGGCTTTGCTCCTGTCGGCGTACCGGCTGTTGTAGGTGCCTGTGATGCGGGGGCAGTAGTTCTCGCGGCCGTCGGCGCAGGGCTCGCAGTCAGCGCGAAGGCAGGACATGCTCTGGGCGCCGATGCCGACGCGGTCGCCGACTTTGATTGTGCGGGAGGCGGGGGAGGAGGCGAGGGTTGGGACGCTGCGGCCGATGCGGACGACCCTGCCGATTATCTCGTGGCCGACGACGCAGGGGTAGTCGGCTGGGCCCCAGCCTGAGCGGAGGGTGTGGATGTCTGTGCCGCAGATGCCGCAGTGGGAGACTTTGACTTCGATGTCGGTTTCGGTGAAGGGTTTAGGTTCGAAGGTGGTGAATGTTAGAGGGCTAGTGGCGTCGCGGGCGACCCAGCCATGGAATGTTTTGGGTGGTGATGAGGACATCATTCAATGGATATGATAAGGTCTTCAGTGTGAACTTGTAGTTTGTCCACGTATATATAGCATCCAAATGGTTCGTAGGGGTGTTGCAGTCTGAGACGCAAAGGTTGGTGGTTGAAAGATGAAGAAAACGCTCAACCGGTGAAACAAAGGTTAAAGTACCAGATAAAGTCGCAACAATGATTTTGTTTAGTAGTTGTTGATCTGATGTTTCTAAAGATTGTCTGGCTATAAATAATGTGGAGATTGACTTGTCGCGGTTCGAGGCTCCAGTTTGCCGAGGTTGTGGGGAAGCGATATGGGCACGAGATGAGATGCCGACGGACCCCTTGGTGCGTCCTCTGCCATTCTCCTCAAGATAAACTTGCAAAGCGCATATTATAGAATTATTGTGATTGAAAGTAGCGGGTTCACTCCAGTACAGTACAGAGTGGCAGCGATTACTTGCGCCGCTTCAGAAGTATTCCGCCCTTGAGTAGGTGTGAAAAAAGGAATGTATGTACAGATAAACTGCTTGGGGTATCAACAAAACGGAACGCCAGACAGATAACAAACAAGGCCCCAATCCCATCATCGCGATGGCATCCCCAACAGCTC